CTGAAACACACATAAACACACAGACACACACAAACACAAAGAACACACACACACTCACAAACACATAAACACACAGACACACACAAACACAAACGCTCAGACACACACAAACACATGCAAACAAAAACACAGAGACCACCACAAACTCACAGATAAACACACACAGGCACACACACAAACACACAGACCCACACAAACACACACATAGACCACCACATACACACAGAAACACACACACAGACACAAAAAACACAGACACACAAACACACACACAGAGTCAGACAGACACACACGCGCAGTTCACCTGTATGTTTTATTTGTAGTAAAGCTGCAGAAACAGTTTTAATGACTTTGCTGTCTTACACAGAGCAGCTGACTCTGAATCACAGCTCCAATCCCACTGTTGGCCATGCATAGCACAATAACATTTCATCATTCACTGATCAAAGAAACACTGTCCTGAGAGCGCGTATGTGTGTGTGTGCACTTGATCCAAGGCAGTGGAGGTAGGCTTGTGTGAAGACTTCATAAAAGGCTGAAGCGTGGCTGAGCTACAACCCCCGTGAGGTTCCTATATCAGCACTGTAAAAACACACGACACACACTGGCCCCATTCTCCTCTACACACACCTCTCCACAGACTACTTGCTAACTCACAGGAGCCATTTATGATATTTATTTATTATCCTCCTCTACACATTAGGGGGATTTTCACTCCCCAGACACACACACACACACACACACACACACACACAACTGCACGTTCTTTCAATAAATGATGTACCAAGGGCTTACTATTAGAATTATTCAAGGACGTGCTAATACACAGGTTTACAAGGACATGCTAATATTTTTCCATTTTTATTAATGAATAAATGACCTTGTGAGTAGCACTCGGTGACATTTTCTTAAATACAAAACTATAAATCATCACTAAGTCAAACTTAATTAACCCCTTAAATTGGCAGGGGTCCAAAATTTTATTACGCACTTCTACAGTTGTATGCAAAAAGTTTGAACACTCACAGACCGATGATATGTATTGTGATTTTAAATAAGTTAACACAATCTCTACAGAGGACACACAACTGTATATACTGGAAAAAAGTTGTGACTTCATCAAGTATGTCGTTGGTTTCAGCATCGCTCCAAAAGAGTTCGCTTCTTTCCGGTACCACCATATGTTTTCGCACATGTGCAGACTGAGAAATCTGAAAGAAATCAGAATAAGATGCACTGAGAAATCTGATTACTGAGCTAAAATCCAGCTCTTTTTATCAGATTTCCTAATTGGATTTCTAGATCGGAGTATGGTGTTTACATGACCATTTGAATAATCAGATAACTGCAGAAATCATGTGATCGGTTTATTGAGTGCATGTAAACGCACTCATTGTTTCACACACTGCTGCAATAAATCTAAACAGGACTAATTGTTCTCTCTTTGTAATGATGTATGCAGTTGATCAGTGTTCTTTAAGTGTTTATGATATCCACAGTATATTCAGAAATAGCATATTGTGACACAATGTAAAAGAGTGTATGACAATAATTTTTAAATTTTCTAAATATTTAATTTATAACGTAATGTTGACGGAACGCAGAAGGCTGAACTTGGAAGTGCAGAAGTGCAGCGCCCGGACAGTCTGTGGCTCCCTCTGCATTAAAGCCAGGTTAGGTCAGGAGTCACAACACAAATGTTAACATTTTGTCCTTTCAACAAAAATCAAACCACCTTGGGAGCCGCAACATTTCATGTCCAGTATGTCTCGGTATGTGATAATGTCCTAGTTTAGGCTAAACAATATAAACAAAAACGCAGATTTACGCTCTGCTTTAAGCTTCGCCGACAGCCACTTTCCTCCCATCTCTGCCAGAAAAGTTTTCCTCAGAAGTCGATCAGTTAAATGTCTCTCAACGTTCGACTGTTTTACGAGGCTGAAGTCGCTTCTTATTCTCCAGCTTCTTGTTCGAATTTACACGTTCCACCTTAAATTCTAACTGAGGCGCCGAATGTAAATGCGGCACCATTTAAGGTGGAACGGGAGAATTCGAAAGAGAAGCGACTTCATCTTCGCCACTTTTTAGTGTGTAACAGTCTCTCGTTGCAGATTTAATGTACCAGGAAACCAACTGCGCTGCTTATAAATGTGAATAACGCATCGCTGCTAGCTTATGTGACCTGCAGTCTGCTCACCGGTTCTCAGTCATTGCGAAACAGGGCGAAACTCGTTGCACACGACCCGTCTCAAAGACATTTTACTGACACAGCGACCCCCCCCTCCATCTCTACAATGAGACCAAAACCAAAGTTATAAAATAACTAAACAAAACGGGTAGAATAGCTGTAACGTGTGCTGCGTGGACATCCACTGCCACTGGATCTTATTTTACTGTAACTGCGCATTTTATCGCAGATGAGTAGCAGCAGCGTCTCGTGCTCCAGACAAGAGCACTGAATGAGAGCCTTCTAGTTCACTTGCCACATCACTTCCATTTGTTTTATTAAAAAAGATATTGGAAGTAAATTCATTATGGATCATTACAAATACTTTGCTTTAAAAGTACCAAGTCACTTTAAATAACAACACAGAGTCACTTAGTCACTTTAAAATATATACTGTCTCTATAGTCTGTGTATATTTTGTGTATATTTAATATATTTCTGTTGGTTTTTCTTGTAGTTTTATTTATTTACTTTCTGTAGAGTGATTATCTGAGCCTCACCACAAGCATTTCAATGCATAAATATCCTGACATGCTGTGCAAATGACAAATAAACTTGAAACTTGAACTCGAAACTTGAGCTCACATAGTGAGAAAATATAAATGCTATATAGAAAAAAAAGATGATCGATAATCGGTAATCGTTTTATAATCGCATCGCAGCCCTCTGAATCGTAACCGAATCGAATCGTGAGGTGCCTAGAGATTCCCACCCCTAATCGTCATATTGCCCATCTTAATCAAGAAGTAGCGTTGGACAATGAAATCAGTTTGCATTGTAGTCCATGTAGATACTGACTAAGCCCTAATTATAATCCCTAGGATGTAACAAAGCTGGGAGGTTAAGGGGTTAAAACCATCCATGGTGGGAAAAATATTATAATCAATAAAATGCAGGATTCCTTCTACACGATTTAGCTCTTATCTGTTTGATTACACAGTGAGGCAATTACACGCAGTGAATTCTCCACGCATGTGTACATGGATGTGTGTGAATGTGTGTGTAGGCATGTGTGTGTGTGTATGTGTGTGTGTGTGAGCTGTGCCCTGGTGATCTATAATTCATACGACTGATTCTGTATTCCGCTCAAGCTGAGTCTCGTCTGAGTCTCGTCTGCAAGCGCTCTGCTCTACTCTTCCACCTCACACTCGCTCACAAAAATATACTTCTTTATTGCAGGCGCAGCTCTTTGGTGACAAGATGAATAGAAGTGATGTCACTCAGTCACAGAGGGAGAGACTAAGAACTACAGTGTTATAGAGAGAAGGGAGAGGGAGAGAGAGAGAGGGGGCAGCGGGCGAGAGAGTGTGAGATGAAGGAAAATCTCAGTCAGGCTAAATTTTCGTTTGCCGCTGGTGCCTCCATCTCCGGCTCTGCAGGGTCTCTGTGCTGATCAGTGGGGTGGCGGGTAAACATGTTTGTCTGTTTATTTTTCCTGCTATGCGTTTGTGTGTTTAGGCCTGACTGTGGAATGACCGTTTGAAGCTTTGATTCCTGCTCAGACACACCTACTTCACTAATGCTCAAAAAAGCAGCAGACAATACTGCAGGCCATTCACAGTCATGAACAGGAGTGCATATTAGGGACGCAAAAACTTTTTTATTAGTTATTATTTACCCATTATTAGTTGGGGATTATCTGTTGTCTGGAAAGCCTATAATTTCACAATATAATAATAATAATAATAATAATAATAATAGCAATTAATTGGCCTTGAATTTAAAAGGAGAATAACATTACAGTGCGAATGTCCTTTTAAACTGTAAAATGTATCTGATTCAACGTTAGCTAGTTAGATGGAGACATAGATGAAGAAAGACTGGGTTGGGTGTTGCCACATGTCTCTACTTCCTGTATCCGTCATTTCAAATGAATAGACATCTGCAGAGTTTTGTGATTGGGACTATATGACATATATAGTCCTGACAGAGGACTACTAACTAATGCCTGAAAAGCATGTTAAAAGCCTGGTCTTGTTGAAATGAAAGAAGCTGCAATCTATAATATATTCATGATTAAATGACCAAAACGTAAATCACATTTTTTCTCAGATCTTTAAAATATATTTTATCCTAGTAAAAGCTGTATCTAAAGCTCTGGCACTGGCCTGCCTGCAGTGGAGATGGGACCACATCAACTTAAAATGTAACTTTGTTTCGTACTCTCTACCATTAGTTAGCCTCACATGTAGGTAAATACTTATCAAGTTGTTCTGTGAGCACAGCCCAGCCCTGCCTTTGTGCAGAACTTAGTAATTTTATTAGTACCTTACCTCTTTTGTATTTTATCTTTTATATTGTTTTATTGTTCTCTGGCTATTATGTCTTATTTTCTGTGTTGAATATGTTATTTGTTGTTACATGTTATTCATGTGTGCAATTTTCAAGACATATTCCTCATATGTGTTACATACTTCTGAAATAAAACTCTGATTCGGAATAATTTGTGACAAGTCCCCATTCAGAACCAGATATCTTGACTCTCTCTCTCCTTTTCTATTCCTGCTTTCTGTCTCTGTTTTCCTACCTTCTGTCTTTCTGTCTATATTGTAAAATGATTCCCAGGCTGTGAATCCCTCCCCCCTTCTCTCACCCTCTCTCTCAATCCAACAGAGAGAGGTTTTATGTGCTCTTCATGACAAGGAGGCTTTGATTTTACATTTGGAATTTTAATAATGTTCTAGATAAGGTGGTGCAATTAGGTATACTGATTTTTTCGGTGTGTACTGTGACAAAGGTGAATTTTAAAGGTCTCTCTCTCTCCCTCTGTCAGACTGGCCATCAATTGAGGCAGAGGCAGAAGCGGAGGCGGAGGTGTTTTTGGAGGACTATGTTGCAGGTGTGGGGGACACTCTGGATCTCTCCTGCACGCCACATGACTTCCTGATGCCCATCGTCTGGCAGAAGGATGGCGGAACTGTGTCGCCTAGCAACCGTACACGACTGGGCCAGAAGATGCTGCGCATCATCAACGTGTCATACGAGGACTCTGGCGTCTACTCCTGCAGACACGCGCACAGCAACACACTGCTCAGCAACTACACCGTCAGAGTCACCGGTCAGTGCACGCCTCATCTCTCACACACACGCGCACGCACACACACACTCACAAAGGTAGCGCCCATGGCCACAACATTGTTTGAACCTCTCAGCACATACACTCTTTCAACTTTTTTTCACTGCTTTTACCTGCTCTGCCCTTTTACCTTTTTCCCTCACTTTCCACTCTTACTTTCTTTTCTTTCTCTTTCTTTCTTTCTTTCTTTCTTTCTTTCTTATCGCTTCTCATCCTCTCTCTCTCTCTCTCTCCTTCCTCTCTCTCTATTTCTCACCTTCGCTCTCTCCTTTCTCTCTCTCTCTCTTGCTCTTTCCCTCTCTCACTTTTGCTCTTTCTCCCTCTCTTTTTCTCTCTCACTCTTGCTTTTTTCTCTTTTCTCTCTTTTCTCTTTTTTGTCTCTCTCTCTCCCCCTATCTCTCTCACTTTCATGCTGTCTTTCTCTCTCTGCCACTTTCTCTGTTTCCTCTCACAGTCTCTCTTACACTCTCTTTTCTCTCACCCCTTTCCCCTTCTGTCTCTCTCTCTCTCCTTCTCTCTCTCTCTCTCTCTCTCTCTCTCTCTCTCTCTCTCTCTCTCTCTATCTCCTCGTCTCGCACCCCTGCTGTCTTAAATTGGGGCTTGATGATTGTTATTTTCTCACAATGGAGCCATGTAGCTCGTGTTTAGGCTTGTAAAGCATTGATAGATATGCATGTGTGTGTATGTGTGAGTGTGTGTGGCTGGCAGCCAATCAGAATTCCTGTCACACTGCTCTTATGAAATAATACTGTCAGATACACGTACAGGTAATGATGTGTTGCGACATTGTGAAAGAAAAAGCACAAAACACTCACACTCAGAGTCTTCCATGCAGAGTAAACTCTCAAAGAGGCGTGGCAGACAGCATTTTAAACTGTTACATCCTAACTGCTCATTTCAGAGAGAGAGAGGGAGAGTAAGAAGAAGAAGAGCTGAAGAGTGGGCTATTGTTTCCTATTTTCAGCGGGAGTAGAGTTTGCGTATTGCATACTGCATTTCACATTTTGCCAACTTTTAATAAAAATGTTTGGTCGGATACAAACTAATTACAGCAAATCAGATTTTGTCAGAATTTGTTGACTGTAATTACTGCTAAAGCTAGTGAGGTGGTGTGGTGACCGTGGTGCTCCCATCTGCTGAGCTGGTCCATTTAGTGTCATAGACGCTGCTCCATGGACTGAAGGTGGCTAGTTACTCTTTATAAAATAAGGTCTTAAATAAAGCAAGTACCTAAAGACCTAACAGTACCTAATAACCTAAATCACATGACATTAGGGGCCAGATAGGCAGCGAGGACCTCTACAGTCACCCCAACAGCAAAGTTCTTTTTAATGCAAGTTTTTAATAAACACTTACATTGTCAGGATGACTGTTTTTTGGTACAGGAACCTGTTTGTTAATTATAAATACAATGCATATATGACAAATATGTTTCTATATGTTTGAATTCTTAACTCTTGTGTGGTGTTCATGTTTTTGTTACTCAGTGGTCTGGTGGACCCACCGCATTATTGTTTTTTTAAATCAGTACAGCCACAACAATTTATGTAAAAATGCCAGATGTTTAAAATATCACAAGTGGCCAGCATTGGGTTCTCCTTTAGCAGCTGTAGTCAGTCAGCAGCCTGTCTATGTAGTCCACCCTCAGACACAAGCACGCATATACAAACACATATACACACAGACACACACACACAGGCACACACACACACAGACACACACACACACCAGCAGCAGGTCATGTAGGAGGAGAACAAAGTGAAGGGACACAGCACCTCCACACTTTTATTCCCATGGGTTCACCCCAACACCACATGTGTAATATAACTGTGTAGGGGGTTTACAGTGTGAAGTCATTGAAAATATGTTATTTTATATGTTCTTCACAGAAAATGAGCAAAGGCCAAGAAATCCGAGGTTGAATTAATAATAAATCACGTCATTTTTCTTCTGGTAAATATAAACATGGGTCCCACAGACCTGAACACCACACAAGGGTTAACTTTGGCTACAGCATTAATTGGCTTGGTGACCTGAGTGGCCAGGGCCAATTTTTATATTTGTCCACCCTGATTTTCAGCAATCACATTTCATTCATTTCCTGTTCTAAAGAGAGCAAATAGTACAGGACAGTTATCTTTGTACGTTAGACCCTCAAACACGCACATGGCACACCCACCACCCACACACACCCTTGCATACACACGCACACATGCAGAGGGGGTAAAACACGCTTATACTCTGAGGACAAAATATAATTAACTCAAAGAAAATAAACTCTCACTCCAATTATGGAATGCTCAGATCTGTATGTGTGTGTGTGTGTGTGTGTGTGTGTGTGTGTGTGTGTTTGTAAATGGTAGCCTGGGTTAGACGGAGGTCCTGTAAACTCAGAAACTGAGGGACACCAGCTGAGTCGCTCATTGACAACTAATTAGAAAGCAATTGTCTGGAATCATCTCATCATTTAAACCAGATGGAGAGAGAGAGAGAGAGAGAGAGAGAAAAGAGAGTTTTTCTTTCTTTCGCACATGTGTTTGGCATTACTCCAAGTCCAGTCAGCCCCTCTCTGCCGCCCTCCGTCAGTAGAGGGAGAGAGAGAGGAAAAAAATCAGCTACAAATTCTGCACCAATTACCTTACATCGATAAAACGTCCACAAGACAGCAATATCCTGTTCTAGCCACTTAAACACATGCCTCTACTCCCAGTAACACAAAAACACACACTCCCGCATTCAACAGAACACTCAAACAGCGCAGAACAAAGACACAAGCAGCATAAATACACACTCTGAGTACTTCAGAAAGAGGCCAAAGACTGTAAAACATCTCATCATCAGTAACAGTAAAACAGTACAAACAAACACACACACCCCGTCACACAGCACAGACTCAGACTACACACATACCCAGACTCTTCGATAACATTTGTGTATACACAGAAATGTAATGTATCAGTATACACTAGGGCTGCATGTTTAGTCATAATTTTATCGTTATTGCGGTGAGTTTCTGTGAAGAGCACATTGTTAGGGGCTGATTTGGTACATTTCAAAATACAGTGCACACATACAGCACCAGAGTGATGTAATGAGATTGAGTACACTTGCACTCAATAATCTGATCATAATTGGATTTCTGCAGCTATCCTATTATTCAAATGGTCATGTAAACACCATACTCCGATTAAGAAATCCGATAAAGAGAGCTGGATTTCAGCTCAGTAATCAGATTTCTTAGCGCATGTAAACTCTTACTCTGATTTCTTTCGGATTTCTCAGTCTGTGCATGTGTGGAACAGACTGCTGTACCAGAAATAAACAAGCAGCGTTTCCGCAAGATGGCAGCAAAACACGTATGGAGCGACACTGAAACCAAACACATTCTCGACGAAATGAAGGATTAAAATATTCTTCATTTTCTAGATGATGTATGTTCATATTTTCAGGTATTCAAGTGGCGCGATGTTTAAAAAAAAGCCACGGCATGAAGTTCGAGTTTTATATTACGTTTACGTCACATCCTTTCTGTGAGTTTATTGGCTGGTTGCAAAGCAGAAATCCAATTACTGCCTGACTCGGAGTTTCCCATTATCTGATTATTCAAGTGCATGTAAACGTGTTGATTGGATTACCGACAAAATCTGATTTTCTGCAATTATCAGATTATTATCTGCAAGTAAACGCACTCATTGGTAGTAATGCAGTGCAAGAAACTATATCTACTATTACAGCAGAGGTGTGCTCTTCTGACTCCAGAGTGTAAAGCAAATGACTTAACCACTCTGCTATAAAGCCTGGTACAACTTACTCATGTGCACTAAAACCTACTATCTTGAACTAACTAATGTGAAAATTAGGGATGCATTGATTTTTTAGACAGAGTATGTATTTGGAACTCACCAATACTGACTCCGACACCTGGGCAACCTACTTAGAATTAAGTAGTTGTTAGTGTAAATGAGTGCAGTGTACCTTAAATTCATTAAAATCTTGCTGATTTTAAATGACAGAGTGAACGGACACAGCTCCTCCACACTTTTACTTCACCCCAAAACCACATATAATATACATAAAATATAAATGTGTAGGGGGTGTAACAGTGTGAAGTGATTGAAATTGTGTTATTTTATGTGTTCTTCATAGAAATTGAGCAAAGGCCAAGAAATCATAGTAAATTGAAATTGAAATAATAATAAATCATAATTTTTTCTCATGGTAAACACTGAAAATGGGTCCCACAGACCCCAACACCACACAAGGGTTAAGCTGTGTAAGGTCTGAGTGGCTTTTCCTACCCCAGCTTCAGAGAAGACAGGGTGTTTAGTGAGAGCTAAAGTCAGGTTGGGGTTAGAATCGGGTGATTAGTTGTGAAACCTGTGTGTGTGTAAAGTGTGTGTGTGTGTTGAGTCGCTACCTGTGTGAACGACTGTTGAACTGCGAGAATAATCTCTCTTTTTTCAGGGTCATGTTATTTTTTCCTCCCTCTGAATGAGTTCATTTAGAACTACCATACGGGAGGAGTCTCTCACTGTGTGTGTGTGTAAGAGAGAGAGGGGTTGTGTAATAATACAGCTGTTGTCAGAAATCTCATGGACATTTTGCTTACGGAGTGCCTACTAACATCTGCCAGCCGTTAACCGCTGTGCGTGTGTTTGTGTTTTTGGTGGGGTGGTGGGTCATTGTGAAAAGTTGTATGTTTGTGTGTGCAATAATTGTTTTTGATTTGTTATCAGTTCACTTTCTCCATTCAGTGGATTATGAATAGATTCATTGTTGTGTGAGAAAAACCACTGTGCCGTGAGGTAATATAATCTCTCTCTCTTTCTCTCTCTCTCTCTCTCTCTCTCTCTCTCAGATTCTCTCTCATCTGGCGACGATGAAGACTACGACGAAGAGCCAGATGATGCAGGTAATGGAAATGGTGTGTTCCCTCATTTCATCCTTTCATTTTAAATTCTTCTTTTGGAATTAGATGTTTCATTCCATTTTTCTGTATTTTAATAAGCTCATTTTGGGCCTGTCATTCATGATTTCAGCTTGCATTTCATTTCATCATCTACTCTCCCATGGAACTGAAAAACAGAGGCTTGCAAGCAACACTGTGTGCGCATGTGTGTGTGCACCAGGGCAGAGAGAGAGAGATCATTGGTGTTTTGCTGACAGCTCCTGTGGCTCTATGGACAGAGGGGATAGGGGGTACAGGAAGCAGAAAGAAAGCTCTAATGTGATTCTAGCTGAGCCTGCTTGGCTCTGCAGACTATTTCAAGTGAAAATTTAAAACGGACAGAAAGTTGACAGTCAGGGTTGCTGTGTGTGCATATTTGTATTTGTATATTTTCTGGACAAAAATGTTGTCACCATGCAGAAAACTGCAGCCTATTTTACACCAAACAGCAAGATGCGTCATGCGGCGGTTATGCACACGTGAAGTGCCAGAATACGCTTTGCATCCACTTTTTGACGTTTACTGGTGGTTTCAGTCTACACTCTTGGAAATAATGGTAGTAAACTGTGACTGGGGCAGTACCCTTCTTGTCACTGGGGTGGTACCCTAAAGGGTACATCTCAGTACCTTTAGTCAGGGAACATACTTGTATCATAATCCATTGAAATTATATTTTCTAAGCTATATTGACTCCACACACCCCGTCTCGTCTCCAGGCTTTTTATTTTATTGTTTTGTTTTAAAACATTAGGTTATGAAAAGGTACAAATACATACTTTTCACTGGAAAAAAATCATTTATTGGGTAGACAATTGGACCTTAAAACCACTGTTGTACCTTTGATGGTACATTTACAATATTTGTACCTTGATGAACGAAAAATGTACCTGCACAGAACCTTTATTTCTAACAGTGTAGAAGAAATCTAAAACTCAGTATTCGTGCTACATTGTGCAGTCAAAAATCACTCCCTGCTTCATCAACACAATGCTTGTGAGTCATGAAGCAGTGTAGGCTTGCCATGTGTGCTGTGTCACTTCAGATCTAAAGTCAGCATTAGAAAACCAGGCCTCACCTACCTGTCCAAGACCAACAAAGTTCTCCTGACTCCTCCTTTTTTGTAGTTTCATATTTTAAACTGAAAGGATAAAAACGTTTTTGTTACTCTAACATCAACGCTTTGTAACTCTATTTGAGAGTTCCAGGTGCTTTTTACATTGTGTGAACATTTTGTGATGAATGGACCAATAGAAATGTTTCACAGTGATATAGAATATAGTGTCTTTACATTAAAATACAATAAATAAGAATGTTTTTTTCCTTGTCTTGTAAATATAAACAGTTTCCAATTCTGAGATATTGGTATCTGTTTATCTCGTAGAAGGTTATGTTATATATAATGTATGGGCATGTGTATGACCGCATGTCCCGACAAGGTATAAAAATATACGTGTTCATGTGTGTCAATTAGATTCAGACCAAAGTGAAGTAGGAAGAGTTGTGTGAGCTCATTTTTGACATAATGCGTAATGTTGAACTGAGTAATCCATCTGCCTTCATACAATTAAGCATCGTGCGTGTTTGTGTGTGTGTGTGTGTGTGTGCTGCCTGTGGCTGCTGGGTGGGGGAGGAGGTGGGGGGGATTAGGAGAAAACTTAAAACCCCTTTAGAGTTTAATGACCAGTAATCCACCTCTAATGAGAGAGAGAGAGAGAGAGAGAGGGAGCCCATCATGTGAAAGTTCAGCTTTTCTGTGGATTTAGAACATGTGAGTAGTCTGATGACATCACTCTCTTATACATCAGGCCTCTGTGTGCACAGTAGGCTCCATTCTGTGCTGAAAAGAAAGGAAGAGGTGCTCTCGGTCCTCCACAGAAACTTGGTATTGCTCAAACAAGACATGCCCGGTCCACCACACTAACACCAGCTGCATTTCAGAAACTGAGCACTTGATGCATATCATGGTTTGCGATGATGTCACTAAGGCTGGGGTTTTACATGACCCGAGGTGTAAATCTCTGCACCGTGAAATAGATGTGTTATTTTAACTTAAAAAGCAAGAAACCTGGCAGCTGAAAATTATGAGCTCATTAAACATCAAATAGAGAGTTAATAGAACAAGAACTGCGTTCTGTTAAATGTATTATTTGAAGTTGATAAAGTTTTAAGGCAGCTTTAGAACTGAAAAACTAAACGCTGTACTGTACATGTGTGACCTCACAGTGATATGATTCAATTGCGATTCTTTAGGAAACAGTTCAGTCAATTGTAAAACATTAAATCTCATCACAGTTTGAATTGATTAAATTTGATTATTTTGGTATGATTGAGTATTATTTAATATATGAAGTTACAAAAAACAGCACACTGACTGCACAGGAACTATTTATAGAGTAGAGGAATACAGGCAATATAGACACAAAAATACAGCCTTTTTTTGGGGGGAGGTTTTGTGAAATTTCATTTATTTTGGCCAAAAAAGATTGCATACTTTCTTTAAAATGATTATAATTAATGACTGCGTATGGTCAATACTCTCTTCAGGACTAAAACTGGCAGTAGACTTGAAAAGAAAAGGACTTTTCAAAGCAAAATTATGTTTCTTTGGCCAAAACAATGCTGTGTTTTGAGTTCATACAGCACAGTGTGCGCTGCTTGTTGAACAGAACTCTTAATCAGTGATTGGTCCACTGCACAAAGTGGGCCTCTAGCGGTGTAGAGACATATACTGAGTTTTCTTTTAAATGTACTTACAACAGTGTCTTGGTGGTGGTTCAGTTTTGTTTTGTTCTTTCGTCATTTGAAGCAAACTGCCAACACTGTCCAGGAGTGTTTAAGGCAGCTCTGTATAGTTGTGCTCTGCTTATTTTGGCAGGGTTGCGGTCATCCACTCAAAGCTCTGATTGTCCTTAGTGAGTTCTACAAGAGTGTCGGAGAGGTCAAAATACCACACACACACACTCTCTCACACACACACACAGAGGGCTGAGCCATTCTTGGCCTCCTGCTTAACACGCTCTACTGACCAGCAGCAAATCATCTGAGACTTTCACAGAAGTGTAATGTGCCAGTCCTGCATGTGTTTGTTTGTTTGCGTGTGTGTGCGTGCGTGCCTGAGAGTGTGTGTGTGCCGGACCCCTGTACCCATTATGCCAGAGGAAATTCCAGCATGCAGATCACCCTTCACACTCTGATCTCTGATACCAGCGTTCTAACAGCCAGAGACACAGAACCCGAAAGAAGGAAAAGTAATTAATGATGGGCTTAAATCCACATTTTTCCTGCATCTGTCAGGAATTTGCCAGTTTATTTTCAATACAAAGCAGTTTTCAGAAAAAAATGTCATTTTGGCTTAGATTCATTTGCATGCTGTGGCTACTGTCTGCCCACTTTCTCTCTTTAAGTCCCCAAATTGGGCTTAGGCATGCATGTTTCCCTATGTGTGAGTCTATTATATGTGTGTGTGTGTGTGTGTGTTTGTGTGAAATGGCTTCACAGGCTTAATCTGGTCTGGAGTGAATTATTGAGATGAGATGAAGGCCTGTCCTGTTTGCTTACTTGGCCTGATCGTCCTGAAGTCTGCTGTAGAGCGCCCACTTCAGATTGTGTCCATTCACTTGTCCTGCACACCACTGCTGTGTGTGCTGTGATTAAGTATGGGGCAAAGCAGCTGCTGACAGCTGCAGTAGCTTTAGAGAGCTCAAAACAGGCCTGGGATTAGAACTACACACACTTAAAAGGAATAGGGCCAACAATGTGGCAAATATAACATCAGAATACTTTTGAATAGTGATGAAACGATTCACAAAACTCATTATTCGATTCAGTGCGATACAGTGGTGTCTGGACTCGATACATTTTTCAATACAGCAAAAATATGAGTGCATGAAAATGTGGCTCACATTTGTACGCTCTAGCCACATGCTAACATGTTAGCCACGATGCAACAATACAATATAATATAATGCACTGCGATACAGTACAATACAACATGATACTGTACCCGTCAGTGCTCGTGTCATCTTCACCCCACCTCTCATGGCTCTCACCGATGCACAGGGCCAGTCACCATCCTCACGCCACCTCTCATGGCTCTCGTCACACCACGTGGCATAGATCTCATTGGTGCATTGGCGTTTAGATTTGCACAATATGTATATGTAGAGTAAGTTTAAATGATATTTAGTTTTTCTGATGTTTGTGAAAACTAAATTTGTCATTTTATGATACAGCCAATACATCAGAGTACTAAAAGTACTCCCTCTCCTATAAAGTTGTCGTTTCAGACCTTCAAGTTGTTATTCCAGTTATCAGTGCTTCTTTTCTTCCCAACACCTCAACAATGCACACATTCATAAAAATACAGCACAGACATCGAGGAACGCCTACTGTTAAAGTGGTTTGTTAGTTCAACCTAAAAAAATACATTGTATGGCAACAGACAGTTTAACTGGTTTCATAAACTAAAAAAATAGTTTGAACAAAACAATGCAAAGCAAAATTTAGATGACAGCAGTTTACATGAACAAAATTATTATTTTACAGCAAAGGAAACTTCCAGAAAACGTCTGCCCTGTTCCACTTTTTGCAGTGTTGGCTAAATGTGTAGAAATGTTGATGTTGAATGGGTTCATTTGGGTGTAGTTCTATCAGGCATCTCAGAGTGTGTGTTGATCTAAGAGATCAAAAACAATTTCAGTCAAAATCAGTGATTGATGTTCTATGGTTGAGAACGACCAGGGTGCATTAATATTTCTGAAGAAAGGTCTTTCAGAATCTCGGCTCTCAAGCATAGATTCACACTCTTACTGTGTGTGTGTGTGTTTTTCTTTCCAAACAAATCTTTATTCAGTCTGGGAATTAGGCAGCCAGTCTGACGCTGCCACAGTGTGCAAGAGAAATTTTCCATAAACATTCACCCACACGGAGACTCGAGTACACGCACACACGCACGGAAAGGGAACACCCCTTACCCTCACTTTAGAAAATGGCTATAGACCCCAAACGCACACACACGCATACACACATACTTCTTGAGAAACAGTGCAAACATGCACTCTAGATTATACTGTAATTTTGTACCATTTGATATGGTCTGTTACCATAGAATAAATAAGGATTCTTTTACTTTTTAAAAGGCGTAAACGAGGCAGTCATTTAACAAAAGTAGGTTTATGTAGTAGATTTTAGATTATTTTAACCTCTTAAATCTTTTATAGTCTTCTATACAGCACTGTGGAAAAGTCAGAGACCACCCATAATTTACTTGATTTCCAGTCAAAACAGCCTTTTATTGATTTCTTGATATTGATTTTTATGGAGAAATTTCAGTGCTCAGAACTTTCATCTTTGAGATATAGGAGAAAATTAAGCCCCAGTCTTGCTTCAAGTGTAGTCTCTGACTTTTGCACAGTACTGTATGGGCCCACATTTCATTTTCTTTCATAACATACATATTAGCTTCGTTATTAAATAATATGCCTTAGTATTATTAACTGAATAATAAGTGTTTGAGGGATTAACAAAACATATTTCTTCCTCCGACCAGAAGCACCATACTGGACACATCCTCAGCGGATGGAGAAGAAACTGTTGGCTGTTCCTGCTGCCAACACGGTGAAGTTCCGCTGTGCTGCTGCAGGCAACCCCATGCCCAGCATCCACTGGCTGAAAAACGGCAAAGAGTTTAAGGGTGAACAGAGGATGGGCGGCATTAAGGTACGTTCCTCGGCCAGACAGATGAGTGCTGAACTGTTTGTGATGTGTGTGTATGACTGTGTGTATAGGGGGGTGGGGTTACATTTAATTAGGATTTAGTTATTAACAGTTTACACTGCACCCCCTTCTCTCCCCTTCTCTGTGTATCTTTCTCTCTCTCTGGGGAGCGTGCACCTGTTGCTGTCTTTCTGAAAGGATTAGAGCAGGTTGTATCAGTGCTCTGAGTGGTCCTGCTGTTATTTATGTTTTTGCAAGTAGGTGTGTTTGCATGTTCTCGCTCACTGATGGTAGAGCTACAGCCAGTAGTAAATGAATTAAATATCATAGTGTTTTCAACCATAGCTGTCCCAACACTGACCTCTCCACCCCTTCAGGGGCATAGAGACACACCCCTCACATGCACACACACACACACTTGTTTTGTACAATGTCAGGATGGGGGTCATACATATCGCTGTTGTCGGAACAAAACCTCGTATCTCCAAAATGGTAACTTTACAGGAGAAGGAAAAAACCTACTTTACTTTTAATGTAAGTCAATGGAACCAGACTTTTTACCAAGTCATTTTGGGTCATTTCTTTTGGTCCATTCATCATGAAATTTACAAACAATGTGAAGGGCATATTATGCCAAAAACTGAAAAATGTCAAAAATAGAGATACAATGTTTTGCTCTGACAGCATATATACTACATGTATTATATGTATGTACCTATAATATTGTGCAAAAGTCAGACAAAATGTTATTAGCATCAGGAAACATATATTCACCTCTAAAGTTCAGTCTTAGAAATTGGTCCTATTTTCCATTTCTCACAAGCCCAAAACCTATTCAGTGATGTTGAGGTCTGGACTATGGGGTGGTCAGTCCATTGGTCTGGGAACACTATCAGCTTCTTTGTTCAGTTTGCAGTTTTTCTTCCTTTTTGTCTGTTTATAACAGCTTCTTGACAGCTTCACATCCTTTTCAGACTAGTTTTCAGACTAGATAGTGTTGATTTGTCTTCTCACAGTGTTAGGGTGGACAGAATCACCTGTGGATTGTTTCATATCAAAGCAATTTTTCTTGAAGATGAGAGCTTTAAGGACTGTTTATCTGATGGTGACAGTTTTGGTGGTCTACCAGGTTTTGCACGGTTGTTGGGAGTTTTTTCTTTTGACCTTCGCCGTATTTATACAAGTGCATTATCTTACATCTAATCTCCCCCAAAACGTCTTCCGAAAACTAATAACTTGTACTTAATGGCCATTTTGATGGAAATTAAATAAATAAAAGGTTTTATCTGACTTTTGCACAGTACTTTGTATGGTTTTACCCTTTCAGTTAAAAAAACATTTTTTTTTTAAAAACACTTTACAAAGTCAGAACTATTTTGATGATCTTGCCATTGTAGCTGTTTTTTTGTGGTCAGCACATTTTTCCTTGGAAAATGAACAAAAGCAAGTATGCACACTCAGAGAAACACACAGACTTTAAAAGAGAGGTGGAATGTTACAACCAAATCCGTTCTAACTCACATAGAGACTCACATCTGTGCTGTAGACTTTCAAATATTCCTGATGGATTTTATTAGCGCTACCCTCAGACTTAATAAACCAAGCAGGATTTTACTGCAATTAGCTTTTAATATGGTAAGACTTTGCGAGACAGACAACTGTAACACCGTCACACCCCTGACCACAACTGAGGTACATTTCCAAATTATGACTATTTTGTAGATTTGAGTTAAATTCAGAATTAGGTAGAATCATGAGGATTTCTGTCTTTCACTGGCACACGTTTCTGATGCTCAGCTGTGTGGTGATAAGTTCATCTGTATGGTCAGAGTTGAAGATGGAATTGACAGCTTTATTATTGTCAACCCCCCCCCACCACTCACCCTCATCCACACGCATACACACACAGGGTCAGGGTCAGGGCTCTAGACTCCGTCTGACAGCTCCACAATGAGTTCCTTCAACCTCTATTAAAGCAACAGGCTTAAAGTCATAACCCTCATAGCCATGCATATGTAAATGTGCCCTGAATGTGTGAGTATTGTGTTTTACAATCTTTGTGGAGACAAAATGTGAAAATCCTGACTTTGTGGGGACAAAGATGACTTTTTTACTCAAAATTGAGCTATAGTTTGTAAAAGCTGAAGCTAGTTTAAGTGTCTGGCTGCACCTACCAGCAATAGTGCATAATTCACTATTGTAAAACAATTGAAATGATTGTATTCTAAGAGAGTGTGTCTGTGTTGTGAATATTATATTTACATTTATGCCATCTATCCAGGGTGACTAACAGAAGTGCTTTGTTGTCCACTCAGAAAATAGTCTTAGCTAAGTTACCACAAGAAAACAAAATACATAAGACATAATTGTGATTGATTCAATAAGATAATTTAGCCATCTAAATGTCCAAGGCCCACCAGTGGGCCCAAAGTTTTATCACACACCTCTACAACCTAAGAATAACTCAACCAGTTTGCATTGGAGTTCCTGCAGTTACTGATTAATAAGCCTTATTATGTAAAAAGCCTGAGATTTTAAGGGGTTAATAAGTGTATGATTAATTGCAGACCCAGAGAGATGTGTCTTCGGTCAGCATTTGAAGACAGTGAGGGACTCCTAGTTGTTCAGACACCCAGGAGAAGTTCATTCCATCTTCTGGGTGCAGGACAGAGAAGAGTCTTCGTGCTTGATTCTGTACATGTTGGGATGATGCTTAAAGCTCAAAGGGAGCGAGTGACTGGCTCATTTTTGTAATTACAAGCAAGCATCAGGGTTTTAAGTCTGTTGTGAACCATGTTTATGTGTGTTAAAGCCATCAGGACTAAAACACGAGTGGTGCGTTGTAGGTTTATACAATTGAAAAGGAATTAAGTGGCAGTTGTACTACTCAGATTAACGGCTGATCCGGTTTTCCATTCAAAGTTCCTCTGATTCTCCTTTGTATATGATACGGGATATAGTGTACTTTTGTGTCACTATAGTGAGCCGTAGTCAGGAGTGAGGTAATAGGGCTTTTCTTTTCAGGTCTGGTGATCAGAGTTTGATAAATAGTGTGTAAATGCGCTACGAATGCCTAATGAGCTCTAGATGTAAGAAAATTAGCCGCTGCCTGTAGTCTTATTGTTTAAAACTGTCTAGTTCGCTGTTGAAACAGTTGACTTTCCCACAGCTTTCGCCTGTATAGACAAACACGCACACACACGTGCACGGAGCGCTGAACCGACTGGCAGGACTGAGGGGTCAGGGGTCATCCCTCTATTGAGTCATCAGAAGGGGGCGGGTCTGTGTGGGTGTTGCCGTGGCGATTGAGAGCCATTGATTGACAGGGGAGGCGTGGCTATCGTCATGGTCACATATGGCTACCAGGGTCTCATTGTTCAAATGCTAATCTGTGGCGCTACAGGTTAGTCACGCCACACACACACATACACACACTGAGGCTTTTGTGAAAGTGTGTGAGTTGGGTCGGTGTGTGTGGACGTCTTACGACACGTTAAACAGCTCAATCAATAAGTCCGTCTGCAGCGCTGTATTAAGACATCTATGTCATTGACTTTCCTAAATGGCCTTCAGTGGGGGCACTTACTTTCAGTTTAAGGTGAATGGTCAGATATATGCATAAATCTGTCTCTGTGTTTTACTTAATTAAGTGTTTAATTGCTTTAAAGCTGAAACATTTTGTTGGGGCAATGTCAAAATTATGACAAAAGTGTTTTTTGTGTTTTTTTTTTCCTTTTTTTAATTGTCTTGAAATGAAAGCTTGTAATATTAACGTACATTAAAGTTAAAGGGGAATTTCGTCCGAAAATTAGTATTTGATATGGTATTTATGTGCCATTCTGTAGTGCAGCATTTACAATTTTATTACCTGTTTTTCACCCATCATACCCACCCACCCATACATGTTCTCTCACTACAATACCCAGCATGCAATATGCAGATATATCACACAGGCACTAGAGATCTGTGCAGTGCTCGACAAAACCTGACTACTAGCCACTGATCTACAGGCTAACAAATACATCATTGGTGCTAACTTTAGTGATGCCATGGTTGCCAAGCGTTATTTATTTATTTATTTATTTGCTAAAGGAAATATTCGTCCAGCTATCAGGAAAAATTCATCCCTCCCTCCAGTATTCACCCTAAATCAGTCTCTCAAAATTTACTTCTACCTTCAAGATACATCATCAGAAGGAGGCTCTCCTAGTCTTTATACCATGAAATCTCATACTAAAGACTGCAGCACCACTATAGGAGGTAGCAAGCATGACCACTTGTGATATTTTAAACATCTGGTATTTTTACATAATTTCTTATGGTTGGTTATTGGTTTAAAAATCAGTAATGCGGTGGGTCCATCAGACCACTGAGTAACAAAAACATGAACACCACACAAGGGTTTAACTTGTCCAGAGTGTCCCTTTAAGAACATTTTTCCAGTTGCCTTTATAGAGATATGAGGTCTTGTTATGACAGCAACAATTTATTTATTATTAAATAGATTTTGTGTGTATGTGGTTGGTTGGTTTGTGTGTGTGTGTGTGTGTGAACAGTGAATGTGGAAGGGCAGGTTCTCTGCTCTCTGCTGGTACACGTCCCTGCTAAACTACTTTGGTTTTCTTTAAGAGTCTTTCTGTTTAAAGGGAATCGGAGGGCTGTATCAGTGTTTATGTGTGGATTTCTGAATGCATGCCAGCCTTCAGAGCTCTGATCAATCTTTCATATAACTGTGTGTATCCTTGTGTGTGTGTGTGTGTGTGTGTGTGTGTGTGTGTGTGTGTGTGTGTGTGTGTGTGCATGTGTATCCCTGTGTGTGTGCGCATCTGTGTGTATGTAATTACAGGCAGTCTGTAAAAGATTGATGGATTTGTTTGATGCTGGAACTTCAGTGTCTCCAATTAGGGCCGTGCTTTCTGCGCTGCTGTGAAAAGCAGAGCGAGAGAAACAGAGGGAGAGCGAGAGAGTTTTGTCGTTTTAATGACCGGCCCAGGGGTCAGTAGTTTCTGCTTCCTGTCTCTGTGGGTCAAATTAAGCAGCACTGTGCAGTCTGAACGAGCCTGCACCATCCTGACACCGCCATAAATCCAACACTCACTCACATTAGAGAAATCTCAACTTTCTGCCTTTTGCTTCTCCCTTTTACTCCTTTCACCTGCTATCAACATCTGGATGTCTCTCTCTCCCCATTTCTCTCTCTCCCTTTCTCTCTCTCTTTTACTGTCCCCTGTCTTTCTGCCGGTGCCCCCTGTATTTGTTTTTTCTCTGAACTGAACTTCATCCCTAAACTCTTTAATCTGGAGCAATCACAATGCTGAAAGGGATTACAGTAGAACAAACACACTGAGCTCTACTTTCTGCTGGTTATTTCTCTCTCTCTCTCTCTCTCTCTCTCTCTCTCTCTCTCTCTCTCTCTCCCTCTCTCTCTCAGTTTCTCTCTGCTCTCTCTCTCACACTCTCTCTCTCTTTTTCTCAGTTATCTCTTGCTCCCTCTCTCTCTCTGCTTTCTTTCCATCTTTATCTCTTTTTCTCCATCTCTCTCTCTTTCTTTCTCTTTCTTTCTTTCTTTCTTTCTTTCTTTCTGCTCCCTCTCTTTTTCTTCTTCTTCTCACTTTCTCTCTCTCTTGCTCTCCTGTTTCTTGCTCCCCCTCTCTGCTCTCTCTCTCTTTTTCTCTGGAGTCTATTGCTCCCTCTCTCTCACTGATCTCTCCATCTTTCTCTCTTTTTCTTTACTATCTCTTTCTTTCTTCTTTCTTTCTTTCTTTCTTTCTTTCTTTCTTTCTTTCTCTCTCTCTCTGCTCCCTCTTTTTCTCTCTCTACTCTCTTTCTCATTATACTGATTTTATCTTGCTATTTAGCTCCTTTGAGCTTTACTTTCTCTCTTATTTCTCTTATTATTCACACTATTTATTTTTGCTCTCCCTTGTTCTCTCTTTTTTATTCTTTCTCTTTGCTCTCTCTTCTCTTTCTGTTTCTTTGTCTATACTTTCTGTCACACTCTCCCTCTCTTCCTCTTTGCTGTCCCTCACTCTGTTTCTCTCTGTCTTGTTTTACTCTCATTCCCTCTTTCTCACTTTTTACTCTTTCTCTCTCTCTCTCTCTCTCTCTCTCTCTCTCTCTCTCTCTCTCTCTCTCTCTGTCTCTTTCTCTCTCATACTCTGCTTTACCCCCCCCCTTCTCTCAGTAGATAGTATTTGGATTGATTTACCGTTTCAGGAACAGCTGAGAATTCTTAAGCCTTTTTTTCACTGAGCCACTCAGATGAATGTCTTGCAAACTCACATGATACCAACCTCAGAATAATACAGTCTTCCACCCTGACCCCCCCCTCCCCAAACACACACTCAGCCCCTCTCTCTCACACACACTCTGATGCAGCGTGTCCGTCAGCAGCCTCTTAAGAGTCATTGACTCAGAGAGCAGCGGCAAGAGAGGGGTGGGAGCGGAGAGGAGGAGAAGAGAAGCGACGGAACAGGAGGAGGGGTGCGAGGGGCACACCGGACACACTTGCCAACTTTCTGGGGCATGTGTGTGTACGTATGTGTGTAAGGCCGGTCAGTGTTACCATGCGACTGTGTGAAAACACAGCCCATAATATTTACACAGTTACATTTTTTTCCACTCCGACCTCCAAAGTGCAAAGAGAGGGAACGAGAGAGAGAGAAGGAAGAGAGAGAGAGAGAGCATGCGTCTATAAGTACAGTCTCTCTCACAGTAGTATGAATGGGTTGTAGGCCCTTTGTGAGTGTGTATGTGCATGCGAGTGTAAGTGTAGAGGTTAAGGGTTCGTGTAAACACTAAAGAGCCATACTTTGTGACCCATCGGCACATTTTCCAAGTCTGGTGATGTTAAGTGTTCCATGTGAGTGGTACTGTTGACATGGCGTTCAGACGTGTGTGCGTGTAGAGGAACTCTGTCTGCATGCTGCTCTGTCTGAAGCAGGTTTCATGTATGTTACACATAACATTTTACTAACATGATGAATTTTACAGCCACTTCATTTAACCCCTCACAGGCTTATAATTCAGTTATTAACTTTAAAGGGCCCATATCATGGCTGAATCTCGAATAGCTCCCTATCTGCTGCCTATGTAGTGCGCTATGTAGGTCATGAAATAACAGCTTCTGAGGCCAAATAGTTCATTATATGTCTAATGGGAAGCCATTTATATTCAATGAAAGCTGTATGACTCCTTTTCTGACATTTAGTGCACTACTCGGGTGTAGAAATCACAGTACAATGACCTAGACAGTGCACTATGTAGGAAGCCGTGTAGCAAATTAGAGTTTGGTGTTTGATGTTTGGTGTAGCATTTGGTGGTTAAGTATGCATGGTTAAAGATTTAAAACCAGCCCATTTTAAATTGTTTTTGTGATGTCATGAAATTTGAATATATCTGCTTATTCAGTTTACAGCAGTTTAGCCCTGCCCATTTATGCTGAAGTTATAAGGAATGTTACAGTCTTGTTTAAATTAGGCACAATACAGGGCAGCCAGTCACAACAGAGCTTATTTACATATATCAGCCTGTTTAATTCTAAGGGATAGAGAGATGTTAGAAAATAGTCATGTAAAATAAAATGTGAATTTTTTTCTACATAAACTGCGCTAAAATATGATTGGCTGAGCCACGTTCAAAGCCATTGTAAAATCCACGATATACACACACCTATGACCGCCTCACAACAACTGAATTGTGTATTACTGCATTACGGCACAGAAAAAAATACACTTCAAATGTTTGTGTTTCAGTCGGAAATAGCATCAAACCCAGGCTAAATCCCAAACGGCTCCGTACTCCCTAAATAGTGTGCTAGCTATGAAAGTTTAGAAATTCTAGCCTCTACAGGTAAATAATTCATCATTTATCGAGTATGGATGTGGCTGAATCCCAAATGACTAGGACTTAGCTATATTTTGCACCATTGGGGTGCAGCATCCAGTATTTAAATTCCTACCTAGTGCACTATGTAGGGAGCAGGGAGCCGTTTGGGATTCAGCCCCAGCATGAGAAGAGTGGTGCCACTGGATTGATGCTAAATAAGTCTTGCGGTGGCAATTTGGTGATAAAAAGTATGTGTAAAGCAAAAGTGTTTGCATAAAACAGTGCTGTGTTGTCATACGTTCATTGTTACACTACAAAAAGTTTAAAAATTCACAAAATAACTGCAATATACAGCGATGGGCAACCAAATGTTCCCCTCATTCAGCGGACCATGGTTGCTTGGCAGTGATACCATACTCTAAAGGAACTACATTTCTTGGTGGACTACTTGATGATGTTGATTATTATTGTGTGGATTTAATCCTATTTTAAGTTGGCCACTGTTTTGTAAAAGCAATAAGCCACTTGAGGCTGTGCGTTACGCCGATTTTATCACAGGGAAGGGTGTTCTTAGGCTCAACACGAAGCGGCCTCTCGTGGCTTATTGCTTTATTACTTTTAGCAATTAGGGCTGCACGGACAAATACCAGCTTTGTAATTATATTGAGACATATTGCAGTTGTGATGTGTATTATTACATACACATTGGTGAATAAATAATGTAAAATCATTTGTTTTTGTTGGATAATATGAATATTTTGATTTATGAAAACGCAGCACAACAACACTCATGTGGAACTGTGATCAAAATGCTCACAAGATACAGTATAGAATGTTATGATTGGTTAGAGGGCTGATTTGCATATAACAGCCCTCTGCAATAAAAGTATTACAAGGGCCGATATCAAGATAATGATTGACAAATGCTAAATTGTCGTAGTAACTGCTGTAAAATATTCAGTAACTGCTACAAATTATTTAGTAATTTCTAGGAAACTGATTATGTTTAGTGAGGAATTGAAATGTGGACTCACATATGGACGACTACAGTATAATCTTTTTTTTGTTTTACAAAGAATTTTATTTTTTATTTTGTTCTACCCCTTCTCTCTCTCTCTCCCTCTCTCTCTCTCTCTCTCTATACACCTCTAGCTGAGGCATCAGCAGTGGAGTTTGGTAATGGAGAGTGCTGTTCCGTCAGACAGAGGGAACTACACTTGTGTAGTGCAGAACAAATACGGGACCATCACACACACTTACCAGCTCGATGTATTAGGTAAATACACACTCACTCATTCTTCCAGCAAAATCTCACTTCCCATTACCTCTGTGCATTTGTTCACCTTTTTCTCTGTCTTTTTCCTGTCCAATTAGAGCGCTCACCGCACCGGCCCATCCTGCAGGCGGGTCTTCCGGCCAATCAGACGGTGGTGGTGGGCAGTGATGTGGAGTTTTACTGTAAAGTGTACAGTGATGCCCAGCCTCACATACAGTGGCTGAAACACATTGAGGTGAACGGCAGCCGCTATGGTCCCAACGGCACCCCCTACGTCACTGTTCTCAAGGTACACCAGCACCACCCAAATTTCAGTCGGTCAGCAGAGATATGTTTGTTATCTGAAGTTCGCTTGCTAGTTTAGTTGAAGCTACACGGCTAAGGGAGAAGCAGTGAAAGCTTATAGCACCAGTTTGATGACAGTCTCAGAAATCACTTTGAGGCAATAAATTAAGACATCTGAAATTACTATTATGAAACATGAATCCTCTTTAGAAGATAAGAAATGCACACTTTAGATCTGATGTACCCAGCTCAGGTCCAGGTGGACCAGGTGCACCCAGTCAAAAACACCTAATTAAATACCAGATTTAGCTGGACGAACCAGATTTAGTAGGTGTGTTTGAGCAGGGAAATGACCAGACTGTGCTGGACATTATAATATAATGAAGACGCATTAAATAGTTTTTAACATTAACTTGCTTTTATCCGTTTTTTATTTTTTTTAAGTTAGTGTAGGTAGAGCATTTTAGGGTATTATTTTAAAGGGTCCATATCCCACATTTACCTTGTATTTTGTTTTTTCCCCTGAGGTTCACTTATAACGTCAGTGTGTTTTTATGTACCAAAAACAGTCATAATTCATTTTACATGACCATTTTGAACCTCTCATTAAACAGGCTATTTTTGTTACTGTGCCTTTAAGACTGATATATGTAATTGAGCTCTGTTCTGATTGGCTGCTCTGTATTTTGCCTCATTCAATAAGCACTCTGATCTGAAACACCATTTAGAACTTCAGCAAGGATGGGCAGGGCTAAACAGCAATAGGCTGAATAGGTAGACTTAGGTAAATGTGTTGGTTTTCCTTACTTCAGGGAAACAGTGAATTTAAAATGGCATGTTTTTGCAGCTTACTTTCCAGAAAAGGCTCTATGGAGTGGGGAGTGAAAGTTATGTTTTGGAAAAATGTGTTTACTCATGACATGAACCTCTTTTATTTCAAGAAAATGAGGAAAATTCATTTTCCATCATATGGGCCCTTTAAAACCAAATAATACTGCTGGTAAAAATGTCAGATACAGTGTTCTTTTGTGGCATGCTAAGAACCAAAGTTCTTTAGCCAGCTCTTTTAAGACTGTTTATGTTGTACATTTATGTATTTAGCAGATGCTAAATCAAGTGTGATATACAGTGATAGATTAATATAGTGTTAGGAGTCTAGATCAGCTATTCTTATTGGCATAGCAGCGGCATTCCTGTCTGGATGGGTAATTGAACCTTTGATTTTCTGTATGTGAGGTGTTACACTATGCCAATCGACCAATGATACTATTTAGATTCCATCTAAAGAAAGCAAGGATAAGTCACACATCCAGCAGCACTCCCTCAGCATTGCCTCTGCAGCCTGCCACAGGAGAGATTGGAGGGGGGGTACTCTCTCTCTCCACTGAGGAAATGTGAGGGAGAGGGGAGAGGGAGCAAGGAGGTACACACACACACACACACACACATCTGGTTTGGGCTAAGCTAACCGCCGCTCTGGCGTCACGCGGGGAGACAGCCGCTCTCTCTCCGCAGAGAGAGGAGGAGGAGAGAGGGAGCGAGGGACGAGGCGCCCGAAAAAGCCATGGAAAAAATGAGCGGGGGAAGCGAGGGAAGGGCCGAGTCAGCAAGCAGAGGAGGGGAGAGAGAGTCGACTGGCCAGACCGCCGCTCTATTTTCGACTCCATATAATTGAAACAGTATTTTAGTGGGAGCCGTGCACCCTTCCCCACTGCACTCATCTGCGCAACCTCCAAAACCCTCCCCCCTCTCCTGTCCCACAGCACACAGCGACAGATCATATGTGGCACAGAGTCTGGGGAGAGAGAGGGGAAACAGAGAGAGAGAGACAGAGAGAACAAAGCACATGTGTAATTGAAGTGAAATAAAAGAGTGCGAGATGTGTTTGGAGGAATGAGAGGGAAAGTGGAATTGTGTTTAAACTCATCAGCACTTCGAAACGTGGGGGAGAGAATCAAGGCTTGGTTTGATGCTGATATCAATGCAGAGATTACCAGCATCATCAGCACAGATGGCAGTGATTGCTGGCTCGAATAGTTCTGTGCATTTATATTAGATGTCTGATTTCCTTCTGTATTGGTTACCATCATTGACAGTGAAATGGTATTGGAGGATCTGGTGTGTGTGAGAGAGATGGAGAACACTGCAACTCATTATAAATGTGCGCCCTAGGGGATATATCAATATGAAACTGTCATTATGATAAACTGTCACTGTAACTATGTATATACTATATATAGTTATATATAATACTATATATAAGTATTTTATAGGTATCATCAGGGTACTTTTGTCACTGTAAAACTGCAGTGCACAAAGTAAAAGCTAGAATAGTCTAATAGTTGTGGTTTGCCAGTGGGTATCGCCAGTACTTAGAGAACACTGACCAACTGCATGTTGCATTAAAAGGGGTGTTCAAGAAAGCTCAAAATATTTCAAGAGAGTCTAATTGTTCCTTATTGGATGTAGTGATATGTGGTACATGAAATGTTAAATAAAAATGTCATCCTACTCAGAATTTGATAAAAATCTAAATATTCAAAGTATCCTGATAGTGTATCATGAAAACATTCTCAAGTGTTGTGATCCTACTGTTTCACCATATTACCCACTCCTAGTGTTCCCCTTGGTTAATGAGTTTGCTGGCCCTTACTAAGTATGCATGCATGTGTGTGTGTGTTTCTGCAGAGTCTGAACAGTACGAGTAAGGAGTTTCTTGTTACCCTCACTCTGTCCAATGTGACAGAGGAGGATGCAGGACAGTACTCATGCACAGGTTCCAACTTTTTAGGCAAGTCTGAAATCTCTTTCTGGCTCACAGTGCGAGTGCGCCAAACAGGTAAACCCCGCCCCCAAACGCCTCAGATAGTCTCCCAAAAACAGCAGCTGTCAATCATATTCTCTTGTCGGTGGCGGTGGCTTCTGTGGACTTCTAGTTTTTGTTTTGCACTCTCTTGTTAATGTTTGGACTGTATGTCAGGCCTGCTTTGAGGACACAGGGCATCTGTGTCTGCTTCATTTTACTCTGCGCTTCCTCATCTTCTCCGATCGATGCGAAACACAGGGTCTGAACTATAATGGAAACCAAGACTGAAATACACACACATACACACACATACATCCGCACACATTCATATTGATTTCCCATACACTGCTACCCACAACTGAACCATTACTCGTTTTCTGCACACACACACACACACACACTTGCACTAACATATACACAGACGTACACACAAACTTGGCAGCCCTCTCTGATGAATGGATGGCAGCGTTAACTACAGAGAGCTTGAAGAAGCCTTAAAGACATTAATGGCCACCTCACCACAGAGTATTTTAAACTCAACTTAAATAGGAAACAGACACAGAACGCAGTCACTGAAGCGCCACTGAAAACACACAGTCTGGAAAGGGTAGGCCCCTAGACCTCTGACAAATCAACCACCCACTCCGGATGCAGATTCTGGCTATGTCCCAGACTAAGTCTTATTCAACATATAGAGCGCTATTTTCAGTCTTCCATTTTCAAACGGTGTCTGAAAACATAGTGGGGAATAGCATATGGGGTGTACTCTTCACCCTAGCAAGCGCATTTCGCCCACGATGCAGAGAATTTGGCCACAGTGAAACACATCAGCATGTAGAATCAGAGCTTTCTGTGTGTTACCATGTTTTCTATCACTGTATAAAAGATGCACCAGGCTTCCTTTATTGCTGTATGTGCGGTGATTTTTTTCAAGTGAGCTTATTCAGAGCGTAGTTTGGAGTGGCAAACACTTATTACTGATTTATTTAAAAACAGTAATGATAAAATGTGAGTGATTACATTCCCCAGTTCATATGTTTACTTGTTCAAACTGTAGTTTTTGTGACAAACGAAATAAAATAAAATAAAAAAAAAACATTAAATTAAATAAATAAATGAAGACAAACTAAATAAAAACACAAAATGTAATTGTAACTTGCCTTTCCAATGTAGTAAATAGTGATTAGGGGCCCATTTCAAACACTCTTTCCATGTGGCTTGATGGTGCTGGCAGTAAGGTGGAGGGTCTTTATTTCTTCCAGGCTGTTTCAGTGTCAACCAGGTGTCAACAGGAAGCTTTGCTGATGTTTATCTGGTGATGGGATAACTGCTTTTTTCTAGGTGACGGGCTCCATTTTCACCCTTTTTTCTCTCTCAGGGGTTGTGGTTTATAGCTCTCTCTCTCTCTCTCTCTCTCCCTCTCCCTTTCCCTCCGCCCCCTTTCCCCTCCAGACGGCTGGCATTAACACTACGGATAAGGAGCTGGAGGTTCTCCTCCTGACCAATGTGTCCTATGAGGATGCGGGCGAGTACACCTGTCTTGCGGGGAACTCTATTGGCTATGCCTATCACTCTGCCTGGCTTACCGTTATACCAGGTACAACCAGCTGTTCTCTCTGTCTGACCGCTCACTGCCCTTTGTCTTCTGCCTTAAAGTCTTTGTCTTCTGCCTTTCTTTTCCTTACATGCATCTCATGTTAACCCTCAGAAGTTGAAGTCAAAGCAGATGATAACATAAACACGGTGTGATTTGAATTGTTGCTCATTGAAACAAAATTCTGCCAAATGTGTAGATTGAAAACTTTCATTCAATATCACATTTGTGCCCCTAAGTAAAAGAGAATATGGGGATGATATGAATAAAATCTTTTAAATAATCCTTTACACATTTTGTGCCATTGTTTGACCTGTAAATTAACAGAAAAACACTGCAAACTTGTACCCATTGATTGTAAATGTAAAGTAAATGTATATGTAATTAATTCCATAACTAACTACAGAATTCATTTTGTAATTATATGATAACTAGGGCTGTCAATTTTGTTATTATTAAATTATTAACTCTACTAAAGCCATTAACAGAGCTCTAGTTTGACCCTTTGTACTAAGCTGAAGCCCCACTGCTCATGCACTCCATGTTGCTATGATAGAATCCATGATTGTTTCCTTCTCTTTCAAATACAGCTTTTAAATGGCTTTGAAAACAAAGGCTTTAGCACCTTTAGTGGGCTACGCTGGAGGGTGCTCACGGGAGAACTACAATAAATCAATGAGCAGCAAACTAACAAAAGCAATTGCAAATTGCTGCATTAAATAAAGTGATTAATCGCTATTAATTATTTGAATTGTTTGATGTTTAAATAGTATCCAGTATCCACATTAGGAATAACAGCCAAACTTCTGAGGGTTAAGCTCCTCTTGTACTTCTTTGAAGTGTTGCCTTCTCAACATTGTCTTCTTATTATTTCTCACACTTTTCTGTTGTTCTAAATGCAAAAACTACCTTTTTTGCTAAATGTGTTGCATGGGTAATAGAAGAAACACAACAGAGGGAGCTTTTTTACTTTCCATATAGGGTAAAACAGTAAAAGTGGGCTGTAGAGAATGAGTTTTAGAATGTGGTGGGGTTTTATTCATTGATTCTGTTTGAGGCTTCATAACATGTCAGGAGCTCTTAGCTCTAAGCTTGTAGCTCAGTGTGTGTTGATGCTATTCAACTTCACTTTCTTTACTCTACTCCTAACACCGCTGCGGGGAGCTGCAGTAAATGACGGCACACACACACATTTAGTCCTCAGCCCTCCACACATACAAACACGTGCACATCTCTTCTTTAATTAAAAAAGCTTTTTTTTTGGCCTGTTCTGGGGAGCTTGGGATGCTCATGCCACATGAATAACGGTCTCCCCTGGGAAGGGAGCATTATGGGATGTGTGTACCTGCAGGGGCGCATGATAGCTGCTTAATTAGTTTGTAATGAGCCTGTAAATTGGTTGTGGGCTTTTAGCTTAATGACCTGCTCTATGAAGAACACAGTACTGACAGACACTGATGTGCTCAGATATGGATTAGGGATGGGCATTTAAACCTTGTTTACTCTTTGAGTATTTGCATATACAGTACTGTGCAAAGGCACCTAAGCACATTGTTTAAAGGAATATGTTGGTACAAAATCTAATGAACATGATTCATCATTTATCCCAGATGCAGTCGTTCAGCCAAGACATGCTTGGTATCTGAAGTTTGCTGGAGATGCTGGGCTGATATTGCTAACAAATACTGGACTTAGACTGTCACCAAACTCTTCTCCATAAATAAATGCCCAGAAGCGCCTCTTAACCCACTCAAAATGCGTCCAGATCCTCATTCGTTTCGCACTGACAAATCGATGTGGAACCACTTGTACCTCAGTACAATATGTGGTATCATTCCACGCAAGACGACCGAAAGCAGGGCTACGTTAATTCCTAAACACACAGACGCACAGACATAAGGTAACTTGGCCGAAAAAGCTCAGCTAGTGTACTTGGAAAAACAGCGTCTGATTACGATTTTGTCAGCATTTTCAGCACAAGTGAGCCTCAAGCATATATGTTTGAACCTGAAATGTGTCAGCTGGTTGCTGTACCCACCAAAGACTCAGTGGACAGACCTGCAACTTTTGCCAGGTGTTTAAAACTTTTGCGCAGTACTGTATATAACCCAAAGAGAAATTATTTCATATTATTATGGATAAAAAACAGAAAAAAACGGAAGGATTGATAATTCATGCAGCTAGTTTTTTTCAAATAGTTTAAAATTTAAAAAAAGAAGAAAAGACAAGTGTCAATTTGATTTTAAAGCGACAATAAGCAACGACATGACCGTCGACTTGATTTAGTTATTTATCTTTATGATTTAGTTGTATGGCATTTAAGCAACCACCACCTGACCTACAGAACGATAACTTGCGCAACTTACACTGCTTGTAACTTGTCCAAAAATTTGCATCTGCAGTCCTATGTTGCAGATTCAGTTAAAAACTTCATCAGTAAGAGAACTGTAGAGCTAGTATTTTTCATTTATATATCTGCTGATGCTGAGACCTTTATAAATCTACGTGGATTAGTATTATGGGGAAATGTATCATTTATTTGTATAGGGTTACCAATGCAATACACTGATTAATATCTAGATATTTTAGCACAGCAGCCCAGCATCACCTAAATGTTTTGCTCTTTGTTGTACTCAAAAGTACAATAAATACCTCACCAAATATCAGTTTCAAATATTGATCAAATCTAAACATCTATCCGATGCTGATTTATATATTTAAAAGCAAATATCTGCCGATGCTGATATGATTCCAGTATCATCATGCATCCCTTAAACCTCAAAGACGTGAATTCAAAGATGCGTTCAAATATTCATATACTCAAATAACCACGCCCATTCCTAAAACTAAATAGTGCTTTTTTATTCATTACTTTTCTAAATGTGCAGGTGCAGGTTTCTTCCAGTTTGATTTGATAATGGGGCTTAATAAAGCTAATCACAGGTCACAATATGTCAAATAAAGTGCTAATTCAGTGTTAATTCAGTGCTAATATTGAATAAATCACATTCCAACATGTTTCTAACCTTTACCCCGTGCCCTGTGTCAGCCGTGGAGTTGGATAAGGAGGACGACTACGCCGATTTCCTGATCTACGGCACGGGCTGCGTGCTCTTCATCCTCACCGTCATCATCATCATCCTCTGCCGCATGCGCATGAACACGCAGAAGACGCTGCCCACTCCTCCTGTGCAAAAGCTCTCCAAATTCCCCCTCAAGAGACAGGTAACAGAAAGTAGATACAAGATTTGATCAGTCTACCCCCCTCCCCCCACTCACACTCTCTTTCTTTCTTTTTCATTTAGTTTTAATCCAGTTATCTTTCTTCACTGTAACTGTGCTGCATATGTCATGGTGCTTGATATAGCGGACCAGTCAAAATGGTCAGGAAGTACAGTTTATTAATTTTTCAGGAGATATTTCTGAGGAGGTTGTCACCGTCAGATGAACAGGACCTAAAGCTTTTATGATTGAGAGAGAAAAAAATATAATTACTATTAAGACTTCTATGCAATTTTCTCATGAATCGCTGCTATCAGAACAAAAACTTTTGTTGTTTTTTAGTTTTTGACATCATTTGAAAATGCCTGTTGCACTTTACATTGTGTCAAAATTTCATGATGAATAGACCAAAAGAAATGGCTCAAAATGACTTGGAATAAAGTCTGGTTCCATTGACTTACATTAAAAGTAAAGTATGTTTTTTCCTTCTCCTGTAAAGTTACAATTCTGGAGATAGGAGGTTTTATTTTGACAACAGCGAAATAAATAGATGAAGGATGGTCTCTGATTTTGCATAGTATTGTATGCAGAGTTGAGTATACAGTATGGAGTGGGTGTGAGTGAGTGAGTGAGTGTGTGTGTGTGTATGCGTGGGAGAGCGAGAGAATGGGAGTTTGTCATAGCTGTAATGTAGCAGCAGGTTATTCATATTCTCCCATGACTGCCAGAGTGTGGATCATATTTCACTTTCACTGCAACCCAGTCTCTCTCAGTTGTTTTAAAGATTTTAAACGGCAGCAGCTGCAGCTGAAAACACACATGCACACACACACACACGTGCACACACACAGACACAGATTCTCCCCTACGTTCTCTCATTCATTCTCCCTCTTCCTCTCTGGACTCTACACAGACAGTTATCTCAGCCTACTTCAGCTCCAATCAATGAAAGTTCAGTGATTCTTTAACCTGTCTCTAGTCATCATCTTATTTGTTCAGGTGTCATCTCAGTGTTAGCTGGAGTGATGTCTTTTACTGCCTGTCTTTGACACTTCATACCCAGGTGTGAGTGCGAGCGAATGTGTGTGGTGATTGTGAGGAACCTCGTGTTCCCGCTGTCTCTCAGGTGTTTGATATTCCGCTGTAGAGTCGACTATAAAAGCAGCTCTGACAGCACTTAGATTGAGTCATCACTGACTGAGCTTTTGATGTGCACACCACTAGAGAGAGAAAGAGGGGAGAGACAGAGTGCGAGACAGAGAGAGAAAGAGGGGAGAGAGAGAGAGATAGGTAAGTTTGTTTGTAATGAGAAATACCCCAGAGGTAAAGAGAAAAGGAGAAAAGATCATTGAGATAGACTTTTCTCTATTTCTAGCAGGACCATCCATCAACCTGAGGGGAGAGATAGAACAGTCAGTGTATGAAAGATGTAGATATAGAGTCAGTACATGAGAGAGAGAGGGAGGGAGAACAGAGAGAGAAAGAGAGAGAGGACCACATACAGGAGCTAGATAAATACCAAGAGTAACAGAGAAAGAGAGAGAGAAACTGAAAGAGAAAAAAAAGGATAAGAGAGAGAAACACCAAGAGCAAGAAAGAAAACGAAAGAGAGAAACAGGAGCGAGAGAGAGAAAGAGCGTAACAGAGAGAAAAGAAGAGAGACGGACCAAGAGCAAGAGAGAAACAGAGAAAGAAAAGAGAGAGAGAAAGACCAAGAGTAAGAAAGAAAAGGAGAGAGAAACAGAATATAAGGAAAGAAAGAGTATAATCAAGAGAAAAGGAGAGAGACAGACAAGAGATGAAGGAAGAGAGACAAAGACCAAGTTAAGAAAAGGAGAGAGAGAAACCGACAGAAAGAAACAAGAAAGAGAAGGACCCATAGAAAAGGAGAGAAACAGAGAACAGAAGGAGAGACAAGGAAAGAGCATAGAGAGAGAAAGAGAGGAAGAAAGACAAGAGGGAGAACCAAAAAGAGAATGCACAAGAGAGACAGAGAGAGAGAGATCAAGCAAGAGAGGAAAGAAGAGAAAGAGAAAGACACAAAGAGAAAGAAAAGGAGACAGAAAGAAAGACCAAGGAGAGAAAAGGAGAGAGAGAAAGCGACAGAGAAAGAAAGAAGAAAAGGAGAGAAAGAGAGAACAGAAGGAGAGAGAAGGAAAGAGCAAGAGGGAGAACCAGAAAGAGAACGCACAAGAGAGACAGAGAGAGAGAGAAATCGAGCAAGAGAGGAAAGGAGAGAGAAACAGAAAGAACGAGAGAGAGACACTGACAATGAGTATGGTAGGAGACAAGAAGCAGCAGGTGAGCTGACAGTCCCTGAGGCATTTCTTTAGGATACGAGATGACAGCAGTAATACATATAAGTCTGTGTGTGTGTGTGTGTGTGTGTGTGTGTGTGTGTGTGTGTGTGTGTGTGTGTGTGGGTGTTTGTGTGTCTTTATGCTCCGTCTCGGTTTAGCTGGCAGGTGCAGGCTCCTTTCTCTGTGCGGATCTGTGGCTGAGAAGAACGGACAGCCGCCATGTTTCTGTCTCTCGGAGCTTGCAAAGAGACAAGTTCCGTCCAGCACACTGCGGGCACTGCTTTTCTCTCAACACACCATCCTTATCTCTTTACTTTCATACACACTCATCTTTGGCCTTCTCACTCTCTCCCTCTGTCCATTTCACACACTTCCTCGTGTTCTTCTCCTGGGCAGAGATGACAACATGCTCCTCTGTTTCTTCCTTCAAGCAGGTGTCCTTGGAGTCAAACTCCTCCATGAACTCCAACACTCCACTGGTCAGGATCGCCCGCCTATCGTCCAGCGATGGACCCATGCTGCCCAACGTCTCTGAACTGGAGCTGCCCTCTGACCCCAAGTGGGAGTTTCCTCGCTCAAAGTGAGTTCCCTGCCTACATACATTGCCACATATACATATTAAACATACACATTGAAACATACATATTAATAATTTCACATTTTAAGATTGGCCTGCATTATTTTGACCAATATAGTTTACTTTTATTGGATTATGTAAACACGTTAATTAATCGAAACACAGAAACACTCATCTAGAACTATGATTGATCAAGATGCTCATAGCACACAGCAAAACACATAGTAATTGGCCAGAGGTCTCATTTACAGTATCAGTTTTACACAGTCCAATATCGTGATGTCAATTAACAAATGATATATTGTGCTGCCCTTCTAGATACATATCAATGTGAGGCTAATGTTAACCCCTTAAACTGCAAGCTTATATTAATCTTAATTTATTAAGATTTATTTATTAATCAGTAACTACTATGAATAATTTCATAACTAAATAATGAATTGAAGTGTATGCCCACATACTTGGTGTTTAAAAGTTATCACAGATCATTTATCTTTCTTTTCTGAGTATTTTCCTATGTGTTCATTATCACTCAGTATTGTGTTTGCTCCTTTAATTCAGCTGATTGTCCTGTTGCGTGTGTTTCTGTAGGCTAACGCTGGGGAAGGCTCTTGGGGAAGGCTGCTTTGGGCAGGTGGTGATGGCTGAAGCCATCGGGATCGATAAAGAGAAACCCAACAAGCCTCTCACGGTCGCCGTAAAGATGCTCAAAGGTGTGTGAGACAAAGACACTACCAGTGAACTCTGTCATAGCATGTAAATCTGTTAACGCATGAGGAGGCACCCATTGCAGAACTGCTGCTCAGGGTGATTGTTGGGTAATTATCTTTATAAGGATATAATAAGAGTTTTAGTATTTTTTCTCTCAGATGATGGCACAGATAAGGACCTGTCTGATCTGGTGTCGGAGATGGAGATGATGAAGATGATTGGTAAACATAAAAACATCATCAACCTGCTTGGAGCGTGCACACAAGATGGTTAGTGACCACACACAGAAATTGTTTTTATACCCCTTTTGTACTTTTTATGAAACCATACATATGTCCCATATGTATTATATACTTTACATGTAATTACACATATGTAGTAACAACTAGAGGTGGGCAGTATGACCATATTTCATCATTATAGTGATAAATTATGTCATCATATATATCGTTAGTACCTAAAGAGCACTAACCAACTGCCTGTTTCATTAGAAAGAGATCATAATTAGTACTGTTTATCTGAATATAGTGCAGTGCAGTACGTGAAATGCATCACTGTAGTTTTTGATAGTATTCTCTAAATGTGGCACTACTGGTGTTTTTCTCTGTTCCAACTTATCAAACCTCAGAAAAACGAAATGTGACTCATATAGTGTATCATGAAAATGTCTTCAAGTGTCATGATATTATATTTAGCTCTTAACTCTAATCTGAGTAATCAAACCAATGGTTTTATCCTGTCAGTTTTAAAAAATGAAACATTTTGTTTAAAATCACTTTACAAAGTCAGGCCATTTTGGTGGTCCTGATAAAGGATATAAGCTCAGTTTTTCACTAGTTTTCCTACAAAATCATGTTTTTGGTCTTGGAAATTTACAAAAACATAATAATTAATATTATAATTAAATGTGTTGTGTTTGTGTGTGTAGGTCCTCTCTATGTGCTGGTTGAGTATGCCTCTAAAGGGAACCTGAGGGAGTATCTGCGTGCTCGGAGGCCTCCTGGTATGGACTACTCATTCGACACCTGTAAGATTCCCAACGAGACACTCACATTCAAAGACCTGGTGTCATGTGCTTATCAGGTGGCCAGAGGCATGGAGTACCTGGCCTCTCAGAAGGTAAAACACTTACACAACTCACCTATTGTTCTAACACCTCAATCTTATGCATGCTTTGTTGATGTAAGTGTTTTTACACTTGAAGTTAGGTGTATTTATATGAATTCAAATGAATTGTGCAGGGCTGCATGGTCCATGAAAGTAGTTTAGGGCCATTTGTGACCTCTCCTGTTTCTGTGTGTGTGAAGTGTATCCATAGGGACCTGGCAGCCAGGAATGTGTTGGTGACGGACGATAACGTCATGAAGATTGCAGACTTTGGTCTGGCTAGGGATGTGCATAACATAGACTACTACAAGAAGACCACCAATGTAAGTTAGACATGATTGTTAATCTCACTGCAGTAGTGGCACTGCACTGTTGTGCTAGTTATTTACAGGTGACAAAACATTAACTATGTTGTATGCTGTGTTTTACTTTTGATAATGCTGTCAGATCATGTAGATGTTATTATTATGATATGATCTGTTTACATTAGAATCCATTAAGGTCAAAGCACTACATCAAGATTATATGAGTATTACAATGAAACATGCTAAATAAAAATATAGCATTTTAAAAATATTCCATTGAAATGTCTCAAGGTGGAGATCCGGGTGTTTTTGTTTCCAGGGAAGTTTTGGTACAGATCAGAATTACTAATAAAAGTACACTGAGCAATTAAGAGGAACTACAACATTATACACTAGTGGAATATAGACAGTTTTTACGTTTGGAGTACATACTTTATTGAATATTATTGGAATTCAATATGACTGATTCTACCCTTTCAATATTGAATCAGTTGAAGAGTGGGGCGCCACCTAATGCTTTTTTTTTGCTTAATTGTAAAAGTGTTTGAGCAAGATTAATATTTTTTACATCAACCCATACATCCCTGCTACAAAACACCTACCATTTATGAGCATTTCAGCTAAAAGTGGCAGGAGTGCAAACATTACAATTAACCCCATATGCACAAGGATATGGACTTCGTTTCAGCAGGCTTAGTTGTAGTTCTAGTGTTAAAACTACCTCTGCCATGTGGAGGCTGTACTTTAGCCTGGCTAGCTCTCACTGTGATTTGTTTCACTATGAATGATATGCTTCAAATATATTTTGGTATTTTTGTATTACAGCCATAAAGAGGGTGATTGGCGTACTGTTGGAGTGAATTCTTACTTACACACATACACACAACTCAGTAATCAAAAAACACTTGATAAATAAAATAAGATAAGAACAGTCTTCTGGGTGAATCTTGAGAAATATCTGGCTAAAAGAACATTTAACTTGAACTTGTTTTACTACGTTAAATGTCCGTGTTTTATGTGACCTCACTCTGTGCCCCACTCACCCCTACCCCAAGTAGTTATTGATTGAATCTTAAGATTAATAACTGAATAATAACCCACCAGTTTGAGGGGTTGATATTGACTCTCCATGCTGTAAAGAGCTTTACTGAAGCGATACGAGTGGACAGTAGGAGAAGGCTGTTTATGGGAACAGTTCTGGATCTCACTGGGCTTCAGCTGGTGGGAATGATCAGATGTGCTCTACTGAAGTATCTGTGTATTAGATGGGTCAGTAGAGGATTAGGCAGAAGCGCTGCTGACATTATCTGGGCATCTGTGTGTTCTGCCTCTTCAGCTTTTCTCTTGTTCTGACCAAACCGTTGTGTGCTTTCAGGGTCGTTTGCCCGTTAAATGGATGGCACCGGAGGCGCTGTTCGACCGGGTCTACACGCACCAGAGCGATGTGTGAGTTTACACTGCCTCGCATATCCCTTCTTTTCCCCTTCACTCCATCTTTTCTCTCCATCATGCCGTCGCTCCATCCGGCCCGCTCATAAACCGGCAGAAGAATGCCACTGTTTGAACACCGTGACTGCGGGTATTACCATCAAACGCAGCCATGCGTGGGGTTGGGAAAGTGTCTGTGTGTATGTTTTACTGTCCAACATACTTTCTAATACCTACACCAGCACACTCACATTCCATCCTACTTTAATAGTGACGGGGAGGAGTGAGAGCAGGTTTCTGTTCATTGTCTGCTCGCACACCAGGTTTTGATTAGCATGTCAGTGTGTCACAAAGCAATACAGTAGTCCTCCTGGTCTTCTCATGGACACACACAGTGCTGTTTTTTTCCCATATGTTTCAAATGGAACGTAATCATTGCTGCCTAAGCTGAGTGAGATCGCTGTAGTGAAATCATATTTTCAGCACGCTCCCCTAGGCACCGCAGTGCTGGAAATAGGCCTTAATTCAGACGATCTGTTTTGTTTTTAGCTCTACAGTGTGGTGTATGTATGTATGTGTATGTGTGTCCCCAAAGAATTCTCATTTCATTGCCTGCTGATATGAATGAATAAGACTTGAGTCTGACATAAAGCTAATGAATGGATACTGATGCGATGATAGGCCAATTATTCAGCATTCATTGGGCCTCTTATGGTGTGGGTGTGGGAGAGAGACCCAGAGAGAGAGGGAGGTAGAGAGAGAGAGAGAGAGAGAGTGGGGAGTTTAGCTGGCTAGCGTTAACTGGCTCTTAGCTCCTGTTGTCTTTTAGCGTGCCTAATTTGATTAGCGCTGCTCAGTGGTGGTGTGGAAGGAATGAGGCCAAACAAAAGAGCCCTGGGTTAACAGAACAGCTTGTGATAACACACACACACACTAACACATACACATAGACACACACTGCTTAATAGACTCGCCTCTCATATCACAGACACACATTATAGGCCTCACTGAGAACCAACAATACTGCTCTCTCACATCCGCCAACAACCTAACACCCCAGAGTGAGAGAGAGAGAGAGAGAGAGAGAGAGAGAGAGAGAGAAGCAGCTTTGAAGCTTTGCGAAGGTGTTTATACAGCTTGAAGATGCAAATTAATGAAGAAATACAGTACTGTCCACAAGTCCTAAGCATCTGAGAAAATGATATGTAAAGCTGTTTATCTGGGCTGTAAACATTTATTTGTTCATAAAAAAACACCAATATTAGAGTATATGCAAATAAACAAATCAACAATACAGTGATTTGAACCCAGAGGTCAGCAACTCAATTGTTAAGAAGAGCCATTTTGTCCTTTCAACAAAAATCAAACCACCTTGGGAGCCACAGCATCTTATGTCCATTTTACCATCTTGGTTGTAAATACGTTTCTATATGTGTTAATGTACTAGTAAAGGCTAAAAAATACAAACAAAAACTCAGATTTACTTCGCTTTGCTTTAAGCTTTAGCTCAGCTCTAGCTGGTTTTCTCACATCTCCGTCAGGAAACTTTTCCTCAAAAGTAGAACATTTTCTTGTAAAATGTCTCTCGATGTTCGATTTTTTTACGAGGCTGAAGTCAGCTTCTCATTCGCCAGCTTCTTGTTCAAATTTTCCCATTCCACCTTAAATGATGAATCTCAGCATCATCTTTGGCTTGTAAATGCTACATTGGACTTGCGTACTACATACTTCAGTGGGAAAACAAATGCACAGCGTGACAGTAGCTGGAAATAACTTTTGTCAAGACAGCCATCGATGGAACTTTCCTTTTAAAAAGCTGAGCTTCAGGCTGGAACTACAGATGGTTCAAAAGGCCAAACTAGAAAAATGTGTTAACAGCGAAAAAAAAAGTGTGATTAATAGTTTATTGCATTACTGTTATTAAAGTGTTAATTTACATATGTGGGCAACAGCTCTTATCATAACTGCACACTGAAGTCGCTTTAAATAAAGGCATCTACCAAATGAATAAATGCAATTGTAATTCACAATATATGGCAATCCCTCACCCACTGATCTAATCACACTGTCCATACAGCTTTGTGGTTTTACTCTCTGTTGTCCACCCATGTTCTCTCTCTGTTTGGTGGTGTGTATTCACCTCTGGCCTCTTCTGCTCTTGCAGCTGGTCTTACGGGGTGTTGCTATGGGAGATCTTCACACTGGGCGGCTCGCCGTATCCCGGCATCCCTGTGGAGGAGCTCTTCAAGCTGCTGAAGGAGGGCCATCGAATGGACAAGCCCGCCAACTGCACTCATGAACTGTACGCCACTCAAGCCACTCACTTTTCAGCTCAAAACAGATTTCATACTGCATTCTTTCATCACTAGCTCCAAGCAGGAGCAATATTCCTACATTCCTGATTTTGTTTTCATTGAGATTTGTTTTCGTCAGAATGAGAGAATAGGATGTTTATTCTGATGCTTATGTGGTTCTGGCAGGTATATGATCATGCGTGAGTGCTGGCATGCTGTTCCCTCTCAGAGACCCACATTCAGACAGCTGGTGGAGGATCACGACAGAGTGCTGTCCATGACATCGACTGATGTAAGAGCGCTCTCATCCTCACTCTTTCTCTCTCTCGCTCTCTCTCTCTCCGTTTCTCTGTCCTCATCACATTCCTTCTCAGTGTCTCCAGATATACACAGCAGTTCAAGTGCATTTGTTTAATAGTGTTAACATAATAAATTATGAACGTCAGAAAATGTTTAACCTCATAAACACATTTCCCAAGTTTAACCCTTTGAATGTAGTACTCCAGGCTGTAGCCCAGCTTTTCGCTCACTGTATGTTGCTATGATAAAATCTGGGATTGTAGCCCTCTTTTTAAATGCATTTTAAAGTTATACTTTCAGCTATGGCTGGGAAATATGTTTATCTTTTTTGTGATACGTTATGTCACCAGAAGCATTTCTGAGCATAATAGAACACTGAGCATAATTAGTCCTGTTTAATTGGATTTAGTGCATCAAAGCATGAGAAACGTTAAGTAAAAATCATTTGAACTCAGTTTTTGATAGTATTTTTTAAATGTGGAACTACTTTTTTGCCTATTTCAACACGTCGGATGTGAGCAAAAAAAATATTGTGATAAATAGTGTATTGTGAAATATTCTTGAAGCATCTTGATATAATATTTTTGCCCATATTGCCAACCACTGGCTTTGGCAAAGTGAAAATATCCAGCTACCCTTGAGAACTCCCACTGTAACAAGAAAAGAGCCGTATGAACAAGAACAAAAGAGAGAGCAAGAGGGCTCTCAGAGGAGTTATAGCCATAGACATGCTACATATGATTTGGTTTGACAGCCATAATAAAATGTATAATAGGAATTTTACTTTTTTACTATGCCCAATCTGAACATGCATACACTGTAACCAACCTGGCAGTTAATTCTAACATGTTATAGGGGACAAAGCCAAAAGGTCCGAATGTATTGCTGGTGAGACATTAGATGTGGGAGGGGTTAACCAAAGAAATTTTTTCCAAAGTATTCCATTGATTTATATGATTTGCAGTGATATGCTTTTCCCAACCCTGGTCCCGGAGTACCCCCTGCTCTGCACATGTTACAGTTTTCCTCTTTGGACAGACGAACGTCTGCTCAATGAGGGCCAATCAATCAGCTGATTAGTTGAATCAGGTGTGTTGGAAACAGGGAAAACACTATAATGTATAGGACAGGGGCTACTCCAGGACCAGGGCTGAGAACCTGTGCTTTAGCCTATTATATGGGAAAGTCTTCATGTTCTTTCTTGAGAACAGGCCCTTTACATGTTTTTATTTACAAAACTCCTAATTTTGCAATAAAACTGGAATAAAACTACAATAAAACGCAGTGTGAGCACCAGGAACAAAACAAATGAAGAACCTGTTAGTTGTAGGCTTCACTGTCGCTGCAGACAATCAATTAAAGCCTTTTGTTTTAAACCGTCTGCTACAATTTTCATGTTTATTTTTACAAAGTTAGCTTTGCTTTCAAACCTTTGGCCTGTGTGCCATTGCAGTGTATACTATATAATGAGCGTTGTGTACTCAGCTGTTATGCATTATCACAAACCTGAGTGTATTTGTGTGTGTTTATGAACTCCACAGGAGTATTTGGATCTCTCCGTGCCATTTGAGCAGTACTCTCCCACCTGTCCAGACTCCAACAGCACCTGCTCGTCCGGTGACGACTCTGTGTTTGCTCATGACCCCCTGCCTGATGAACCATGCCTACCTAAACACCACCACAGCAACGGCGTCATACGGACATAGACGGCCTTAACACCACCACAGCAATGGCATCGTATACACATCAGATCCCTAAACGTTCAGCACAGTTAAGAGGGCTCAGGGGTCATAGAGACCCTGCTGTAGGAAAACCCCCTATAGCCCTCCATATAGCTGCGTGGACCAGCTTGAGTGTCATTACACTGCACAGAGCGCTCCAGCCCTCTAGCCCCACACACTGAGGCTGGAGGGTGGGAAAGGCTGTGTGTAGAGTCTGAACTGAGTGGCTACAAAGGACGGACATTAGTCCTCTCCCTCTTGCTCCTGCTCCTCTTCTGCTTCCAAACCGACATTCTGCTTTTTCAAAAGAGAATTCCTATTTTTCTACTCGGCCAGTTTATTTTTCCTTTCCTCTCGGCATTTTGAAGGGTGAAACCATTCCGTGCCTACCGAACAAGTGCAGAAACAGCTGGACGGGACAAAAAAGAAAAGTGGAGAAACGTGTCACAGCGCAGCAACATGTTGGAGTGACACACAGAGTGCCATTCCATACAGGACAATATGGGAAGTTGTGGGAAAAGTTTCTTTTTTTTCATTTACCGCAATATCTGATTTCAAACCATTGCTTTCAAACACAAGGCCAGTTTCATGTTTTTTACTCTGTAACCTTTTTCACAGTGAACTTTGAAGAAAAGAGCCCCACATGTGAGATTTGATTTGAGCGAATATAATTGTGTGCTTTGTATGTATCTAAATTTTCTATTGTAAATATATAGATATAAATATGTATCATATTGCAGTCAGCAGCAGTGTATGTAAGGAATTGATTTTTAAGCGAGTTTTAAGAAAACAATACATTGCAAATGAGCATACACTGTTGAGGTCATGTAAACATTTAATCTTAAAAAGCAAAACAAAAGTTTTATTTGAATTAACATGTATATTTGTAAAGCTATTTATAGACTTAACATAAGGATTTTAAGGTCTAAAATTATAGTCTAGGGTTTTTGGTACTGTAAACAAAGGGGTTTTTTTTGTTCAGATTTTAATTTTTGTAAGTTATTTACCACAGAGGTGCAACATTTTCTCAGCCAGTGGTTTTTGTTATTTTTCATCATCTTTTCTTCCTCTTCTTTTTGTTGTTGTTCCATCTTTTTGTTTACAGTGACAGGAATGTATACAAACACCATTGGCAATATAAGTACCAGTGTAACACAATGAACCAGAAGTCAAATTCTGAGACACGAACAAAGGATGCCAAATGTTTTACATTGTTTTGACTGTGATTTCAGTGTTGAATTGCGCCACATGAGGACCACACGTGAATTTCCCCGGAGAAGAAATGTGCAGAATTCTAGAGGGTCAAGCACACAATGCAGAATGCAGCACTTAAAGTCACGAATTTCTTAGCATTTATCATTTGATTCAAGCCCTAAAAAGTCATTATATAACTGCATCAACATTAGATCTCTCTTCATCCAGCTAGAGGTTTTCTCTTCACAGCTGGAGGTAAAGCTGTATTAGAGGAAAGTATATCACAGCAGTGACAGTCTGACAGTCTTCTCTGAGGATGAACACTGTGGTCCTCTGTGTTGCTCTATGATATGAAGGAATGCTTCGTGGTTGAAACCCAAATAGCATAAACTAAGACAGTAGTAACTATATGGTCAAACCGTTTTATAAGTGTGTTTTTTTTGTTCATCTATGCTAAGCGGAAATGTAATGTCGAATAACCGAGGCAATCTTCTGTCGCTACGTTTGTAAAAGTGCCAAACTCTTCATCTTCCTTTCTGTTCTGAGTATGTAAAATGAGCACAGATCCTTTCGTTGCTGTTCGATCTGAGAGTGCATTGATGTCACTCGAGTGTCTCTGATCATGTAAATCTAAGCAAAGCATTCTGGGATGTCTTGATTGGGTCTCAGGGTGTATTTAGACAATTGCGCTCCGAACAGATAACCGGCAATAATCTACAAAGGGACGAAGGAAGAGACAGCATGGTGACGTGCTTGCTGCTAAAACAAGAAAACTGTAGATTTGATACCTGATGAGCATAATGCTGTTCCTCTCTCCTCTCTGATTTCTTCTTATCGGCCCATTTTTGTATTCATCAAGTGCCTGGCCCCCGAGGGTTCGATATTTTGCTAGAGGTTTTTGAATGTACAGCCACAGCAACAGGGACATAAGCAGGGTGTTTCTTAAAACTAATTTTTTGTAAGGCACTTCTTTACTGTTGTTCTCAGCCTGGCGCATCCGAGACATTCGTGCGGAATGTTCAGTCTCTTCTTCTTTTTCTTCTTCTTCTTCTTCTTCCAGGCGAGGGAGGCCATTCTCCTAAAGGAGAGAGCGCCGGGTGTTTAACTGCCGTTTTGTTTGGAGTTGCATGTATTTTGATTAGAATATAATACATGCTTTCTCCTGACCCTTTGACCCCTGGCTCACCTCCGTATCCCCTGCTCTACTACTGAAAGCCCCCCCACCAGCACTGTGTAGTTCACTCAGTATAGCTGGTCTTTTTTTCCCCTTCCGCTTAAAAATCCGCATTATTTATTTCAACGTATTTATGATTTCTGTCTAGACTTACGTACAAAGATGTTAACGTCTTGATGCTTTCGTATTCCAAGATGGAGGTAGGGCCAAGAAGTGTTCTGGGGTTTGAAGAGAGTTCACTTCCAGCGACCTGGAAAATGTTTACATGAACTTTGTGACAGCGCTTTGAGACATCATTGTTTTTCCCGCCACTTTTCGAACTGGTTGGAATGATGAGCAATACGGTCAGATGACCATTCATCCATTCGTCTTTAATTCGTTTTCTTATAGCTCTATTCGATAGCGCCATTCAGCTCTTATTAGGAGAAAGATATTAAGTTAAATTATAGTTTTAATTTGCAGATTATTACTGTACATTGAGTAGATTTTATATAGGTGTGTGATTTGATTCTTTTCGATAGAAGTGACAGTACTTTCTCACAAAGGACGTAGTCAGACAATGCATTCCATGTAGGCTTTTTTATTTTCTCGTATGTTGTGAGGGAATGAAGTTTGCTGAATTCGAGGACCCAGGTCATTCAGCCACCATCTACTCCTCTCTCTTTCTAACACATGAATGGGGAAACAAAAGTTTACTAACAGTTTGAAATGAATACCTTCTTTTTGGTCTGTGTCTCTGCTCTCTGGAACATTCCGTTGTATTTCGGTTCCACCCCACAGAGACGGTGGACTTGAACCTCTCTACACTCGCAGTCTGTGCCTGACAGAACTTTGCTGTCAATCAAAAACATTTTCAATAAACACAATACGAAATGAATCGCTTTTTGTGATATTTCTTGTATGCGTTCATTCTATTATTCTTATTGATTGTTATTTCACATTGTTTTCTGCTCGGATGAATGCGTTATTCAGCAGCGACTTCTTGTTATACTTTTCACATTCTCATTTTAGCCTCTCTGCTTTCCATTTTTTTATTCATTTCTCCTCAAGAAAAACAACCCATGGCACCATTTACAGTTAAATAGACAAGAAATTACAAAGGGCATAAACAAAAAGAAAGAAAATGATCAAAGAGCGTAAACAGAAACAGTGTGAGAGGGAAACACATGAGAAAAGACTTATGCATTTAGATTTGTTTATTATTTATTTATACATTAAGCAATGGACCATAAAACCTTTTTCTTTTTCTTTAATCAAAAATCGTGTGTTGGTTTTCTTGACTCCTGCAGGTTCCCTGCAGTCTAAAGTCTGCAATAGGGCCAGAAGGGGAACATCCTGCACTTCTCCAGAAAGCTGAAGAGGCTCATTCATCGTATGTGTGTGTAGACTTTGCTTCGCAGTTGAAGAGCCTCTTTCACAAATGTGTTTGCAGTGCTTGGGAGAGCCAGTATTAAATGAACGTTACTGTTGCGGAGTTGTGTTTGCACTGGGGGACGAGTTTGCATCTCTCCCTCTCTCGCTTTCTCACTCTCTTCCTTTTTCTCTCATGCTCCTTCTTGTAGGCCACACTTTCATCAGTGTACTGAGTGTAAAGGGGATAGCCAGCATAAGCTTGTTAGCTATTATGGTCTGGACAGCTAAACTGTCCAGCTCGCCTGAGCCAAAACCCCATACTGATCCCACCATAAACAAGTATGTAGACTGAAGCTAATCTGAAGCTACCCAAGCTAGTTCTGCAGGCCATACAGAAATAGCTTACAGCTACACTATGTAAGATCTGGGGATTTGGAGACCTCTCTGGTGGACATGTGTAATTGCATGCAACATGCAGAAGAACATTTCGTAATGTCAGTTGTGCTTCGGACACCTTTCCTGAGCGGATGAATCTGAAGATTGCGAGCACATTGAAAGAGTTTTCAAAGAGAACTCAGTCAAAACTTGGTGAAGGACTTGTCTTCTAAGGATGTAAGTGAATTGTTTACTACTGTCATCATATCTTCCTCAGTGTAATGTTAATTTTGCATGTGAGATCAAAACATCAAGCTGGGGCTTCTTTTTGTGCCTGTGCGAGTAACGTTAACAGGCAAAGTGTGATGTAGGCAGAAAAACACCAACAAAATCCAGTCTAACGCATCTGACTTTTAACTGATTATTTACAGGGTGACTCGCAGCAGCACACATGCCTTATTTTAGTTTATTTCAAATTTCCATGGAAGCCTGTTAGCTGTTAGACTAGCTTAGCAAAATGCATCTTACTGAATGTTCAGTATCACTTTAGACATCAGTGTTGAAGAGCGTGTGTTTGGACAGTCATTGCAGTCATACATTACGAGTGCTTTTAGGCTGTGTGTGTAATGCGTATGAAAACTCTTTCGTTGCCTCTTCAGAGAAGGACTGTTTTTCACAAAATTAAAAAAACGTCTGTAAATTATGTCTGTAATTTCGTTTAGATGTTTTTGTTGGAGACAAAAAGGTTGAAATCCTGAAACTTTCAACAGAAAATTGTCCAAGCAAGATTTCTCTTTCGCTGCGGTATCTAGTAACATTGGAAAGAAAAATAAAAAAGAGATCTCCGTAGTATCTTTGTAGTTTCTGCTAGCCAACAATGAGATCAGCTGGAAAGACAAAGGAGTCTCCTACAGCTCACATACACTGCAAGACCCCAGTAATCTCACGTGTCCTCTTTTAGTAGAGATTTTAATATAGTCACACACTCAGTTTTACCAGGATAATAATGTTCATGTTTATCTGTTGCTAAACGAAAGAAAGGAATCTCACTATGAGCACTATGAAGAGCCTTCTCAGTGTTGGTGCTGTTATAATTAATAGCCTTCTGGGTCAGAAGGATCCCATGTCTCCATTATGTCCAACACTATTTCTCCTAAGGAGTTTTACAAGAAGCATTATTAACTCTGCTGAACCTTCAAAGATCAACATTTGGGTACGCAGGTACAGCCTGAGTTACCTCTACTATTGATTAGGATTTCAGAAGCTGGTCTGAAGGGCCAAAATGTCAGATTGACTGCCAACATGTTTGGGAAGTGACAGTGCAATCAAACAATTAACCAAATTCCAGTGGGTTGGACCATTTTTGTGAGATAAAACTTCACTCTAGGGCTTCTGTGAGTCCTAGATGTCACTGACTGCTAGTATGACTGGTAGCCAAACCAGCTTTCAGTCAGTTGTTTGAAATGGAAAGCAGAGGCAGCAGCTGTACGTCAGCATTCATTATTGACTCACTGTAAAACAGCTACATATATGAGGTAAAATATAGCTTAATCTTTTCTGGCCACCACAAAAACTATTTCTACCATTTAATGTGCTTTTCTCCATAAATAACGAAATGACAAAGATATTACGTTGAATGATAAATTTAAAATGAACTCCCAGCCCTATTCCATTTTGCATGCTAATATGCATGAT